TTATTTGCCACTGTTGTTGCCCGCTGTATTCGCCCACGTGGGATCTTGTTGTCATGACAAAATGATTTTTCTGGAACTAACTATAAGTTTCAACATTATATTAAGCTAAACATTATGAATATAGTATTTGTAATGTTATACCAGTTAGGTATTCGCAAAAAGGATGATTTGAAACCATTTTTATCGACACTCCATAAATAAGAAAAAAGATCGTAGACAAAAGAGTAAAAGTACTAAAAAAGAGCTGAAGACGTTCATTATCAAATAACTTGTAACAAGGCCAATCAGAAAACATCTACTTAACACAAACGATAAGAAATTTTATGAACAATAAAATCTTACTCGTGTAAGTATGAGGACAGTTAAAGACAACAGTTACTATACGCCGCAAAGCCACAAACTGCCAGAGTATTAGCTTTTCACGCAAAGAACTTAAAGTTCCCAACCGAAACAATTAATTTACGAGAGAACAAGGCAATAAAGCTGTTCACAACAATATGTCGCCTCATCAACATGGAAATTACATTTTGGAACGGCAGATGGATACCTATTTGCATTTAGCAACTGAATTTCACGTACCAATGAACAATAACTTTGTTGCTCGTAATATTAATTTTGATTCGCAGTTATAGACTGAGCACAGATATGGCGTCTAGAAAATAGCCGTCTTATTAAAATGCACAAAAGGGGCATATAACTCTTCCAGTGTGATCTGAAGCATATGTTGTTTGCCACCTATCCCTTAAAAACTTATCCGTAATATCATTTTAATACTTTAATCACCAATATCTACATTTTTCGTCGGTGCATATATTTTGTTCGGCATAATAGGAATTACGAATACTCTTAATTTTTAGTTTGATATTTAAATGTGAGGAAGAGCACTATAAGCTGGCATTCAGAGCTACTCACAATTTGTCAAAAATGAATCCAGTAGGTAGTTAAGATTGTACAACGTACGTTATTATTGAGACTGTTATGGGGTGGGTTCCTTTTATTTATTTGATATTAAATGTCAACCAATTTTGACCCGCCAATTGTGATTGGTGGCCAGTATGTCTAAAGAGACTAACTAGCTTAAACTAACATTTTTAGGCTGCAGCGATGAATATCTAAATGAAACGGTGTCATGCATTGAACAATTACAGTTATGTACATATCAGTTCTCTGGAACAGCATTAAAAACAATTATATAATAATACCTACAGATAGCCTCATACGTATAAGCGTGATGGCAGATAGGTCCAATTGGATCTGATTTATTTTCCATTCGTCATTTGTTAATTAATATCGTCGACACATGCAGGGTTTGCACAATTAAATCAAGAAACATACAAATAAGTAGTATGTAGCTATTTTTTTAGTGTGAAGATAATGTAAAAATAATACGCAATGGGCGTCTGTTTGCTGTGCAACGGGTTCCTTTCCCGCACGGAACAACACTTTGTATCTACAAATTGTTGTTTAGGGTCTGGATGGCTTGTGTATGTGAATTTGAATGTTTGTAAACGCACCCACTGCACAGGAGAAAATATTAAAAAGAGCAATGGTTTGTTTTTAAAAAGAATCTCATAGCGTCTCCCGCTTTGTGGAAAGTGTCACTCTTGCTAAAAAGAACCCCGTTCCTACTCCTGCTACGACCCGGAGGCGCAGCACCTTATTGAGCTTACGTACGTACCTACAGATGACATAATAGTATCTTATTAACCTCCCAGAAAGTGTAATTTAAAAGTAGAGTGAAAGAAATATCAGTGTATGTGTTATTTATTTAATACTTCTTGCATACACTGATTACTTGGCCGGACATAATGCGTTCCTCTACCAGAGTAAATTGGGCTGGTATAGACCCGTAGAAGGAGACCTGGACTTAGTGAGGGTGGAAAATCTTTATATGACTTCTCACACTCTAGTTTTGGTGGGAAAGAGATCACTTTCTTACTAGCTAAAACTATACGTTCCTTCTCCTGCTCCTAGTCAAGCTGCGGTAAAGATCAATTGATGTTAAGACTCTTCCATGACAAAATGTCCAACGCCAATTTGTTAAAAGCGAACTTCCGGATTTTTTTCTTTAAGTATACTCTATTACAATTACTGTTTTTGACCTAAAATAATTCTGTTATAATATATTAACTGTTATTATATAAGGGAACACAACGCTACGTAGCTTACGCTAATCATAACGATTCACGAAGCTACTACTATTTCAAATAAAAAAGAGAATGCTACGATTAAAAATGCCACACAACAATTCAATATTCAACCAAGTCACGCAACTTTAATGGTATAATTCGCAAAAGAATTTAAGAAAGGAATGAAAATGGCAAGACTATTTTTTCAAATAAACATTCTTTACCGAAGACAACTTTAATAATACATTAGCTGAAAAAGGCTAACTTTCCCAAAGTGCTTAACAGTTTGTATTCACAAAAATGTAGTAAACCAAGTCAATATCCTTCCTACCTGTCTACAGAATAGTTTTAAATTCAACTTTGGACCCACTGTATTATTTCGGCCAAAAAATATGTATTCCGAGATTTTAAATACCTATAATCTGTTCAATTATTTCTATGTGGTTGGTTGGTAGGTTGACTTTGGTTCAAAGTTAGCCAACATTGCCGAAAATTATTATTCTTAGGTAATCACCCTACATTTTTCAGAAAATATAGGCAGATTTTTGATGCACTAAAATCAGATTCGCTAAAATCAAAACTGTACCTATCTTAAGTCAAACGAAAGCAGTTAGCTAAATGTAGAACTAATTCCACTAACCTAAACTGTGAATTTGTGCCAAAAATAGGTACTTATATTGCCTTGAACTTTTCATTCATTCGCGTGAAAGTTCACCTTACAGATCGCTAACCTTTACTTATACAGACACCAAACTACAGTTTCAAGTTTAACTCTGTCTGCAAAAAACATCGTTCATTTTCAAGAGCTAATATACCATTAGTCAAGATAATTTGTATATGTTTTTATAAGACCTGGTTTTAATGACTTTTCTCTCCAAAACCGCTGACAAGACAGTAACTATACCACTTAGAGATAAACATGAAAGAAACAACTGAAAAAGCAACGGTAATACAAAATTTGCGTGACTGGTGATATGGCGAAGCAAATCACAGTGAAAAGGCTCATAGCCCTGACATATAGCCCTATTAGGCACGTATAACTTAAGCCACAATGGTTGATTTTGCACCAACGTATTCAAAAATATTGAAAATAAGGTACAAAAATTGTTTGACTGCACGGTTGGCGCGGTGGCTGGGCAACTAGCTGCTGCGCAACGTGTCGCGGGTTCGATTCCCGCACGGAACAACTCTTTGTGTGATCCACAGATTGTTGTTCCGGGTCTGGGTGTGAGGTGCATGTGAAATTGTATGTTTGTAAACGCACCCACGACACAGGAGAAAATCCTAATGTGGGGCAACGTGATTTTTTAAAGAAAAAAAAACAGAAAATAATCAAAATTTGAGCTGTTTCCAACTTTGTGACATTATTCTTTATGGAGAAGCGACTAAGAGATAAATTTATTTAGAGAAATATGGTTTTTTTTATATTTATTAGCTAACACCCTAAGTGATAGTAAGAAAACACCCAAAAAAACACGTCAAAATTAAATCGTACGATATGGCTTCATTTCTTTGATAAACACACACAAATTAATAGCTCTATAATATCTATCACCAAATGACCATTCAGTTATAAGGGAACCAAAATAAACTTCACGTTGAACTAAAAGGCACGTAAACTGATCAAAGACTGCTTTACGACATTCTAATGGATCTTAAAACTTTAGTAAGATGTAGTTTTTAACAAGACTTGTTTATTTAACAATACATAACAAGAATAACAGGAAGCTTTGGTTCTAATAACAGGTAAACAATGGTTAGTCAATGCGTAACATTGTGTGAAAAAGCATTCCGTCATCCATGAGGTTTTGTACACGTTCAAACATCAACACTGCTGCTAATCATGATTTAACTTTCTGCCATTAACTTTCAATGAGACCCGTGTTACTAAAAGATGTTGAAGGCAGATATTTTTTAAATTAAGTTTTAAAATCGGATGATTCCAAAAAATGTAATGAACATAGATAATGTAAAAAAATTGCTAATGTAGAGCTTTTAATTTCTTAAAAATTAATACAGTGATATTAAAATGTTTGGAAAATTGCGCAATGTTGTGACAAGTTTCGTCTATTTGAGATTAGCTTCAAACTTTTAAAGTCATTTTCATTGAATCGGAGACGAAATAAAGATCTTGTTCTATCTTCTTGCTGTTTGAACTGACTCTAGTCACGTATGCCATATCTAAACAAATAAATAAAAGTATAGACACTAGGTCCCTGCTACAAATTTTGTTATATTCTTTAATATTATTCCTATGTACCTAAACAGAATAACAAAATTTCATATAAAAAGTTACTTTAAAACAAAAAAAAAAGTATTAAATACTATAACAACTTTGAGCAAAGTTACATCAAAGTTTTCCACCAATGCATGCAAGTATAGACTTTATTCGGTTTAAATAAACACATGTAGACCTACAAAACAGATCCGCAAGAAGCTGGGAGAGGAAAATCAATACGGTCAGCTTCCGTTATGTCTAGACTATAGCCTCAGACCGGCGGCGTCCCGAGTAACCTATAAGGAACTTGAGCGCAATGCGGGGAAACAGCACACCCATATTGCAGAAAGTGCATTCCTCATTCCACATCACATGCAATTAACACGATTCTACAGTTAACAACAATCACACACATTTATAGGTTAGAAAAGCGTCCGGTGCATGTTAACGAAAAATGAAGCAAAAATCACAACGATAAGCAACACACAGGGAATGACGGAGAAAATAATTTTGGAACAGGCAGGCGGACATATTGAAACTCAATACTCTCGCCTCCAGAGCGATAAGCGAGTCGCCGGCTAACCGGCTGTTAGTAAAACGTTAAACTCAAACAGATAAAAAATTATAAAAGTATCGTATAATGGCTACGTTACCGGTAATACGGAACAACGTTCAAAGGTCCACAACACTGTCACTTCAAACACCGATATCGAGAATTCAAATTCACTGGATTTTTATAATTTTTCACGGACGCGTTCCAAATTAGGAATTTGAAAATTTTTCGTGTGTACCGTCGAATGCCGTATACGGTGTGACCTTACCAAGTGAACGTTTCGTTACCGCGCGTTCGGTTGCGATGGTTTGGGAATGTCGGAGCGGCAGTTAGCGTTGGACTGAGGCGGGCGGGCGGATTCGGACGCGTTCGGCTCTATTCGGCCACATTTATATTTAGAATTTGGCTCTCTCCCCGGTTTTATATAGCAGTGAGTACATCGCGTATAAAGCGTATCCGAGATGTATACGTATATGTGGATATAGACGTTATATGTATATATAGGAATTACGATTTTTTATTGAGTGGATTGTAAATTTTTGCATACCGTCTGTTGGTGCGAGATGGCCGATATTTCTGGGCGGGCGGGAATATTTTTTTGGCAATGTTAACCAAAAGTTCTCCCACGCTGCATGTAATGAATTCTTTTGATTCTTAGCTAAAATAGGTGTAATAAATAGTCTGACATAGCCAGTAAAAACTTTAAACTGTTAGTAATGATTTACACGTAGTAACTATGAAGCATCAGTGTGCTAACTGGCCACACGCTGGAATAGCCAGCTGACTACAACCAAAGAGTTTTTATGAAGTGCTAATGATGTACTAAAATTCTGGTTTAATCATGGCTACTAAAGAACATACGATTTTCTTTTTTTGCAAAAGCACAATACGTTAGTTTCAAATACAATCCAAATGTCAAAAACGATAGTTTTTTATAAAATTTGTATGAAAAACTAAGTTATGACGTCATAAAATTTTTGCGTCAAATTGGTAGCTTACTTATTTCTGAATAATTAGCTAAAAAAAATCTAAAACTTAGTGTATCGACCGATCGATGAATAGTATAGTTAGGTACTTTACTTCAATTTTGTATTGTATTGAAACGTCGAATTAATTTATTTTTGACCTAGGACACTATCCAATTTTTACTGTCGTTTAAATCAGATTAATTTAATGCGTGGGAGAGCCAACCTTCGGCACGAATGGAAACAGTGGTGATACTACGGCCTCACAGAAAACCGGCGTGAAAATATCCCTTCCTCTGATGATTCGGCCGTTTTCATGTTATAGGTCGACAAACGAGCAGACGGATTACCTGGTAGTAAGCATTTAGCGCCGCCCATGGACACTCGTAATACCAAAGAAGTTACTACTACTGCGTTGCCGGCCTCTTGTAAGTTTTAGGGATTTAAGGATAGGGGATTTGAGGATTGAGTAGGGTGAGGGGGGGGGGTTTTTTTTTTTTTGTGAGGGGAAAATCATCAAATGACTTCTCCCGCCCAGGGCCGGGCAGGAGGGAGTGTCAGACTCTTACTGACTAAAAACCCCCCTGTTCCTTCTCCTGCTCTGTGCCGAGGTCGCGGTACCTCATTGCGCTTACCCCGTAGATAGGGCTTTTTTGTGTGAGGATGTGGTATCACTCCTGTCGAGCCGGCCCTTTCGGGCATGGCTCTCCCACACGCAGCCAATGGCTTACCATCAAGAAATCAATCAGCTAGTTTCCGCGTTTTACAAAAATAAAAAACTAAAATCCATGTGCTTTTATTAGTTAGGCGGTGACGATGACAATACAATAACATTATCATTCACTTTTTTTATGTAATAGGCCGGTAAACGAACTGACGGATTACCTGATGGTAAGCAATCAGCGCCGTAAATGGACACTTGCAACGGAGGAGTTACGATTGCGTTGCCAACCTTTTAGGAATTAGGGATTTGGAAATTTAGGAACTGGGGAGGGATGGGGAAGGGAAAAGATTAGGCCTCCGGGAACTGTTTCTTTAATATTTGGATTTTTATTTGCACATTACCAATTATAAAATAATAGGTCTATCTAATGGCATACGGCTACAACCAGATTTTTAACCCAGAGCATAGCACACCATCACATTATATACCTAATTGGTAATGGTACCTCAAAACAGGTAGACATCTTGTTAGCTGCCGAAAATTTGCTACTGCATATTATGTACCTTCCTAAATGATATTAGTATTGACAGTGAATATATAATTTAGATTGAGTTTGAATATATATTTACCTATATAAAAAACATGGAAGATCATCACAGTGCCAACCATTTGAAACCTGTAGTTGGTTCAACCCCGGATCTCTTAGCTCGGATCAGTTCGCATCTTGTATTAAGATAAAAATAACCATCAATAACCTTGAGGTGTCGTACGTATTCGTAATATTCAGACGTCGCGATATTTTTTATATTAATGACAAAAGTATTAAAATATTTTGCTAGAAACTCTTGAAGCTACTGTAGTAAAGTTAATATTTTTACTGTTGTTATTAAGTCTCCCCATTGATTTTAATCATGGTCTAACGAGACTAACCCGAGGTATTATAGTGAATAGTGTGTGTTTGTTTGGTCGTGCGTATGTGTGCGGAAACAAAGGTGGCTCTCTTTTCCTTCTTTTTCGAAATCTCATGGGACGGCAGTCTCACACGAAGGAATGCGAAACGTCAGCACCAAAAAAAACTTAATGTCACCATTCTCTACAAAAAAAAAAAAACAAAGGAACTCTAACGATGTTACAAAGTTGTGCACACGTAAGCTAAAAGCCGATATCTAAAATAATGTAATCGAAATTCATCGTTTTAAAGTTAGTACATAAACAATACGTCTTACTATATAAATACTATATAAAATAAATGATTTTTCTTTCTTTCTTTCTTTACTTTCTAAACACGCTATTTTTCAAACGCAGTGCTATTCAAAGAGATTCGAAGCAATTTCGATATTTGAAATAGTTAAACCTTTTTCAACAACCGTTCCCCCAGTCAGCTCGTTCGCAAGTTTTCAACCTATCATAAAACTAAAATATCGATGCTTCCGGCAACAAATGTCGTAAACGCCATTTTGGCGAAAATGAGTTAAGAATGCAGCCCTACTTAATTTTTGGCGCTGCGTCGATCTAAAAATTTGAAAAAAATATGCGCCTAGAAAAACATACTTTTACACCCAAAATTTGTACTAGTGTAATCAAGATTTTTTTGAAAAGAGGGTATGTATAACTCATATTGCTTAGAACCGAATAACCGTGCAGGTCGTATAATACAACTTACAAACAGCTGTCTGTCGTACAAACATGAATACATAATTAATTGTAATTACACCCCAAAATCATTTTTAAAACGTAAGCTCTGCTGAGAAACAATTGTCGTAATGTCACTTGGTCTTGGAGAATTTGTATGAAAAATGAATTATGTGGGTCGTTTTTTTTTATGTAATAGGTCTGCAAATGAGCAGACGGATTACCTGATGGTAAGCAATCAGCGCCGCCCATGGACACTCGCAACGGAGGAGTTACGAGTGCGTTGCCGACCTTTTAGGGATTAGGTATTTGGAGATTTAGGGATTGAGGAGGGATTGGGGAAGGGGAAGGATTGGGCCTAACGGTATACGGTAACCTCACTCACACGGCGAAACACAACGCAGTGGTTATTTCACGCCGGTTTTCTATGAGGCCGTGGTATCACTCCGGTCGAGCCGACCCATTCGTGCCGAAGCATGGCTCTACCACACTTAAACGTACAGCGTACTCCTAATTTTTTTAATAGGGTCAGTCTCATATTGTCATTGATACTCTTCCTGAGACTGACGAGGAAGATGAAATTTCTGATTAATTATCTTCTATCACAAAATCAGGTCTTCAAATTTCTGGTTAATAATCTTCTATCCAATGACAGAAGATTACAAATCTGAAATTGAAGACCTGTTTTTCTATAACTCGTCATCGTATTATGTTTTGCATCTACTTTTTTAATATCTTGTCGATAACACTTTTCCATTTTCACCAACGAGACTAAAAGTTAGGTTTAGACCATAGTACAGAAGCTTTTCGAACAAACAAGATCTAGAAAGATGAACTACCTAAATTTGTAAGTTCCCTTAAAAATTAATTAAAATTATTAGAGCATTACTGCTCTAATAGCTTGATAGAATATTTACTTATATTTTTTTGTAATTCATTATCAATACGTTTTAAAAAAATGTCGTGATTATAAAATCTTCTTGAAATCCATGAAACATAATGATTACTTAACATTTTGAATTATGTCTGGCTGGTTAGGTACGTCGTTGGAGGTAGAACACTATAGGCATCTTGTAATAAACGCTTGATTAAATTATATACGGGAAGATGCCTATATTATACGTACTTAAGTGTATTTTTATACCTTTAGGACCTGCCAGTCTAAAGGACTATAGGCGCTTTATTTCGCTTCAGATATTTCCATGTTTGTTACATACCATCGCATCAGATCGTGGTGTTTACACTCATTTTTATTTCAGTATATGGTTTTTAAAACCAAAGCCAGAACTATTGTATTTAAAAACTGGTGCATACTTCTAACTTCCGTTAGACAAATCGTTCTCCATTGATTTGTTAGTGGTCGTAAATACCAACTTCTTGAATTTTCTGGGGTGTATGTCCAAGCTAACTTTTAAAATAAGGCTTTGACATAAATAGCAATAATATATTATGAAACACCATCGTATTTTACGTATTTCTTGTATAGAACACAATTTTACAACTTTTAAAGTTAAAAAGATATAAGCCAAAAACTAAATTATTTTTTGTTTTTCGTTGATTACCAAAAATGCTATTTTGGTGTTTACGACCTTTGTTGTCGGAAGCATCGATATATTAAAAAATTATAAAGGACCAAATCACGCTAAACAAGATTAACTACCCCGTCGGCGACTAATCTACAGAAATCTAGTCAATATATTAATACCTAATGATAATGTGTACCCACTTATGCTAGTTACCCCTTCTTTATCCACATAGAGCTTTACATTCTAGATCCTTAGCTCCGCATTGCGGTCCCACTGCATGGCTATAAATTTCCCTATTTAAGATATTTGAATCTTGGAGGACAATAAGGAATGTTTAAAAATGGGTAAAATTCGTCGAAAAAAGTGTGTAATTAAAATATGGCACATGTTATGTCAGTAACTCAGCTAAACAAAAATTCCGGGGTTGCGGGGTAAGCGCAGGCAACCGCGACCTCGGCCCAGAGCAGGAGAAGGAACAGGGGGGGTTTTAGCCAGTAAGAGTCTGACACTCCCTCCCGCCCGGGAGAAGTAATTTGATGATTTTCCCCTCACAAAAAAAAAAAATAACTAAAATTAGAAATAATTGCCAAACTTCATGCTTCTTTCATCCCCGGAAGAGCAGGTAATGGAACACGTCATCAAACTACTCCTGTCGCCTAAGGCGAGGTGAGAGGGAGAATCAGTGTCTTATTGAATAAAAATCACCCTTTCAGCCGCTGCCTCGAGCCGGGGCCGAGGTATCTTAAAGCGCTTTAAAACCCCGGATCAACAGGCGCTACGAAATTTACCTACACCAGCTATATTTTATTAATAAATAATGTATTATCTAAGTAGGAAAATAATCACATCGTCACATTTTTATTAATACCGACTAGAGTCCTAACTTGTGGTCCGTGGCCTGGTCCTCTACAAAAGAATTCCACTATCACCATGGCGAATGCCTTGAAAAGGGCCGTTTAAAATATTCAGGCTTAGCAGCGAGCGCTGATGCCCGGTCTCAGCTAAATTAATATTGAGGAAGTCCTCATTCGGCAATTACGACACCGCGTTGAAGAGTAAAGGTGGTGCCGGTATTGGTGGTGGTTTATGTGGTTCCGTAACGGAATGGCAAAAAATGCAAATAGATTTGTCATGTCCGTCAGTCACGGCTTCTCTTTTTTTTAACAACTAGACTGTTGAAACCTAGTAAGTAATATAGGTTCTATGAACCGCATTAAGATTTTCACACAAACAGAAAAAAATTTGGAGGGATTACTAAAAGACTCTAGTCGGTATTAATGTAAAAAAATACATTAAGGTTTCGAAATTTTTTTGTTCTAAACAGTTAATACACACTCACGAGATACACTTCCAAAATGAAAAATGTGTGCGTCCTGTATCGAAAATAAGGGCAAAATGAAATAAAATTAAAAAGACAGCATTAGTTGCCTTATATTTTAGTAATAATAATAATAGACGTATGATAATTACGCACGCAGATTTGCAAAATTTAATCTAGTTCCAAAAACAAGACTAAATGTATTTACAGCTGAAACTGCTGATGCAAAGGTGTAGTTTTTAGTTAGTAAGAGTCTGGCAGTTCCTCTCACCCAACCTAGGACACGCTGTTATAGCAGCGGTAAGATCCCTCTTTGTTGAGTGACGAAAGACGTCACGGCGTCCTTACCTTCCACAGGTGCTTACTGGGCACGGTAGCTTCGGTAGGTTCCTGTTTCGGATTCGGCGGGAGGAAACGCCCGAGTGTCGTCATTCCGAGGACCACCTAGAGGACGTGGTGGAGCATACACATGTGTGAAATGGCGGTGTGCCCTGCTTGGGCTGAGCACCGCCGTTTCTTTAGGGAAGTGATCGGCTGTGGCGATCTCCCGGCCCCTCGCGCCCGGCCTTTGTAGGAACTGGAGAACCTTCTCCTTCTTCTGCGAAGCAGATTGCTCGAAAAAATGGAGCTATCTACCGCAGAAGGCTCTGGGCATCGAGAGAAGACGCAAGGCACATGGCGTCACGCGCGCGCCTAAAATAGACTACGACAAACGGGACCCTATAGGGCTGATGTTCAGCCAGGGTTGCGGGGTAAGGCACCGCGGCCTCGGCCTAAAGCAGGAGTAGGAACGGGGGAAGGGGCGGGTGAGTCATTAAGAATCTGACACTTACTCTCGCCTCGCCTTAGGCAGGAGAAGTCATTCAATGATTTTTTCCCCTCGCAAAAAAGCTGCCTCTGGGGGAAAAATCATGTTTGGTTCCTAAAAAAAAATTAAAATGGTCCAAACAAGTGATACCTACCTACAATTACGTAGGTATTTCAGTTGTCGACAGTTCTTTTTCCAATAGATACCTAATTAAGTTAGCCGATTACATTAATGTTACTATAATCAACTCCAATCTATTACCAAAACATTACATCCATGACATAAATACGAAATTTGCCACCAACCGAGCCTTTGAAGCCTTTGAAAACGGTTCCATAAAATAGTATGCATGGGTGAGACACGCCTCTACGCATTATCCACATTCGCTCGTCGAAGATTTCATAAAAGACACATCAAACGAAAATAGGTATATTATAAATTCTACCTTATTTAGATACCGATGTCCAAATAAACTGCATTTGTAGAAATCCATCTCGAAGAATATTCCACAAACTAATAAAAATAGCAATAGTTAACAATACAAGCAAGTAGGTATAATTTCTTCTCATCTTCGCAGTTAATTTTCGAATTTTAAATACTGTTTCACTTTAATCACACTGACTGGTGACTGTTGTCAAATTACTTTTTATTGCCAGCCCGTATTTTAAATAAATTTTAGTAATACTTCATTGCAATTAACATTTGATTGTTTTTGATGAAGTTAAGAACGAATTTACGTTAACACTATCTTTATTATACATTGTTTTTAGGATGACAAATTGAAGCAAGTTTTCTTTAAGATTAGTTTTCACATTGGCTACACTATACCATAACGTCAAAATCTTTCTTTTCTTTCTGCAGCGTTCCAATACCATACAAAAATGGTTTTGTGAAATGTGGCATTAATTATGGAGATTCACTCCCTTCAAAAACTGATATTTTATTGATATACGCATGTATCTCTAATTAAATACCAATATTGCAGTTGAAATAATGGATAAAACTAAATAATAAAAATCGAAAATTTTATAATATTACAGCATGCCTTCCACAAAAGCACTAAAACACGAATGGTCCTACGTTGTTACGTCAATCATTCGCAGTGAACGTAAACTGGAACGCACTGATTGTCAAACAATAAAAACATTGACCAGGTTTTATTTTGTTAATTATTTACTTTAATACAACACTGTCTTTTTAAACAAATATTGTTTTTAAATGAGATAATCTACATTCATTATGTGTTGTTGACGAAGGGAGCATTTCATTAGCGTATTTCCAGATTTCGATAAGTATTTTTGATCGAATTAAAATGTTTAACCCTGATATCAATGACTATCAACTTACTTCGATAATAACAGAGTGCTGTGGAGGCGTAGCCGTTGTTTATTCAGCACTTTATAAACCTAATAATCAAAATGTCGCCATCAAGAGGTATTTTGTTGACAAAACGAAAGAAAACGCCAGTCTAATACAGGTATGCAAAAAAAATATTATTATTTATGTCTTTAAAAAAGTTCAACGCAAGTGAATAAACATATAATTAGTATGCAGTGTAATGAAAACGCTTTTACCAATTATTTTTTGTAAATATTTTAAATACTCAGTTTGTAGGTCAATCAAGGGCTTCTAAAGGGCACTCCTTTACTATTAAGATTAACCATAGTAGATACATATAGTCGAAGCCAAAAGCAATTGGTATTACAGATAAACCATTTGTAAACTTGACCAAAAATAAACAACTTTTATTTTCATGAATTTACTGAGAAAAGCTCTACCTAATTCAAGTCACAACAGGGCTCTTAACCATGAAACAATGAAACAATGATTCTAAAACTGATTTGATGAATCTGAAATGATTCTGAGACTATACTACCATCCATTCTATTTACAGCAAGACATACTCACAAGGAAGGAACTACAACACGCAAACATATTACCATACCTAACATCCTTCGTACATGGCAAGGAGTTGTACGTAGTGTCTCCACTTATGACGTTTGGTTCCTGTCGTGATATCCTAGACCGCTACTTCCAAGAAGGTCTACCGGAACTAGCTTGTGCACTGGTGCTGAGAGATGTACTTCAAGCTTTACAGTATTTACACAAACAATTGTATATTCATAGGTGAGTCTGTTATAATTCTAAATGCTATTGCTTGTCCAATAGAATTGTAATAATTTGGTTGAACTGTAATTCTTATATGGATAAACATCATAACATTGTGCTGGCAAGTCCTGAAAATCAGCAATGTAAGCTTTGATGCCCAACCTAAAGTATTTAATGTGGACCAGTTCCGCTCTGTAAAATGCTTTTACTATTAATTTTATCTGACTTGCAAAAGGAGCAGGTTTTTTAATACAACCATATGTATATATACATAGCCTTCCTGCCCTTGTCCAGTTTTATTTGGGGTCGGCGCAATATGTTTTATTCTTCCATTCTGTCCTGTCACCTTTTACACTGTCGCTAACTCCTCTGTCTTCCATATCGCTTCTTACACAATCCATCCATATTTTCTTTGGTCTCCCTCTCCCTCTCCATCCATCCACATTTATACTCATGGCTTAATACAACCATATTCATTCTTTTTTATTTGTATTTTTCCACGACACACAGCAAATTCATTTGTTTTTCTTTCTTTCATAACACTCTTCTCTTCCAAAGTGCAGATCTGAAAAGTCGAAAAATAACTAGCAACTACCCCATTGTAACCTTAGCTAGTCTGAAGATTTTAAGATAAAAATTATATAACATAACATAACATAACAAAGATCTTGAATAGGTAATACACAGAAAACAACAAATATCTATTGTACCTCTTGTTTACAATGTTTCCCTCTTTTGAGTCATAAAATTATAATTTAAGATGATTCTGTTCAATGCTAGGTCAAAGGCGAGACTTTGTAATACAATAAATTAGTATTTATTTATGCCCGAGTAGAAGTAATACAAAGCATAGAATATACATAAAATGTTCAGCCAGTATAACGTTGACATAGGGACGTCTTTTGGCTGTTACAATGATTTATTTAAAAAAACGACTTCTAATGTGAGTTAACTGACTAGTTGTACTCGTTTCAAGCCATAATGGGACTCTTATTCATGAATAGCCCGGCAACGTCGCACATCCTTCTCACATCTATACTAATATTATAAAAGACGTAAAATTTGTAAGTTTGTATGTAGGGGCTAATCTTTGGAACCGCTGGTCGGATTTCCAAAATTCTTTCACTGATAGATAGCTACAATGTTCCTGAGTGCTATACGCTATAAAACATCACGCTATAATCAAGTGGAGACGAGCAGCGGGTGAAACCGCGCGAGAGTAGTTTTCAATAAATTGAGTATAGTTCAGTAGGTAGACTATTTAAAAATGTTTACAATGATGATAGAAATTCCAATAACAAATGATAGGAAATAAACCGCAATTACATTTATCTATTTAGAAATTGATAAATTATGGTTTACTCATTACGTACATGCTATTTATAACTAGTTGGAGTTAATGCATTGTATCATTAGTGAATGTTTTATAGCATTCAAGAAAAACTTCTAAACTCAAATTATTCTTTTATGCTTGTAGAATATTCTGTAACTATGGTAATGTCATTTTTGATTGTTGAAATAGCTAGTATAGTTGGCAAGAAGGTTGCTTTTGTAGAAGAGACAACCAAAAATTAACATCGACAGGCAAAAGTGCTGTTTTATGGCATTTGCAAAAATAAATTGGGTGTGGGTACAAGTCCCAACTACGCTTTAAATTGGGCACCAATTCAGCTTGTGCAAGACAGGTACAAAACCAAGAATACATATTTTCGCAATCACTATTTTTGTACAAAAGATCAGAATATCTTAGTGGCCTGGAGGTTACCCGCTTGTCATGCATGAGCGTGCTGGTTCGAAACCTGTCGAGTACCAATGTGACTTCTACCGAGCTATATGTACTTTCTATGATTATTGAGGCCACTGACATATGGTAAAGGAAAACACCGTGAAGCAATATTATAATCTAATTATAAGGTGGAAATGGCCAATCCGCCTGGAACATGGTAATTAATGGTCAAACCTTATCTGTGTGAGAAAAGGCCTTTGCGCTTAGCAGTAAGCACTTATAGATTGATGTTGTCAGGTGATAGAGGTTTTTGGTGTTATTGTTGATACCAATCTTCGTCTTCAGGAGCGTTCGTGCAAGTCACGTGCTAGTAGGCGCAAACGGCGGCGTCCGCCTATCAGGGCTGCGCAGTGCGGCCTCGTTGATGGTGCGCGGGCGCAGGCAGCGACATCTGCACCAGCTGCCCCCGCCTGACGCGGACAATACCAACCTCATGTGGCTTAGCCCTGAACTGCTGGAACAGGTATGGCAAGAAATTCTCAATTTTGTAAATGTATTGGCAAACTAGAAGATGTCTCGCCTCGCACTCGGCTCCGATAGTGGACACCATCAACACCAGAGATGTTACAAATGTTACAATTCCCTCAGTCCTTTCCGCCATCGTACCACCAGACAATCGTCTAAACGTCGTCGCTTCATTGTGGATATACCACCCACATGAACAAAGCGCTCGCCTCCAATTTTATTATTAGAACCGTTACGGAGTAAAAAAATTGCCAGAGTGTTCCCCGAAGGGTATAAACCTGGGTGTCTTCAAGGCCTGAGTTAATAGGTGTTCATAGTAGATCCCATCTGCCCTTAACAGCACCAGGCCTGATAGCCAAATGCCTGTCCATATCTAAATATAAGAAAAGCCGACCCATGCGTACCGATACTAATGAAAAATGGCGTCTGCTCCATTCCAGAGGCGCTGCGGCCTCGGTCCAAAGCAGGAAAAGGAACGGGAGAGTTTTTAGTCATTAGAGTCTGACAATCTTTTTTTACTTACAGAATCTAAAGGGCTACGACGAAAAATCGGACATATATTCGCTGGGCGTCCTATGTTGCGAGCTGGCCAATGGGGCGGTGCCCTTCGCCGAGGTTCCGACAACCCTAATGTTCACGGAGAAGGTGCGCGGAAGTCGGCCACAACTATTGGACTGCTCCACTTTCCCGGAACCCTGCCTTGATGACTCCGAAATGAAAAGTGAGTATTTTGAAAATTAATATGTTATTTTTATTATGTGTGTTCGTTTCCGTTCACGGGATCACAGGATCTCGGACCTTTGGAAGGCGTACGAGGGGCCGAAGCCAACTCGCAGAGGCCCGTTGAACAACTTTAATATAAGTGAAATGGGACATCAGCCAGCAATTATCTCTGTATGTAAAAGTGCACCCAAGGATAATCCCCGGTTGATTTATTTTTATTATGTAATTTTGAAATAAAAACTTTTTTGAATTAAATTTTTTTTTGTCAAGAAGCTAAGTGATCAATCGGACTTGTTAAGTGTAAATGATATAATGACATATTAAACTTCTTATTTTGTTAGTTCTTTATTTTAATCAAGTTATTCGTGAATTATATAGTCTGTGATATTTAATATGTGAAGTATATTACCTTTTCTTTTGCTAGATTAATACTGGAGATATTTCGAAATAAACATAAACAGAATACGTTCAAGTTGAGAACTCCCTTCTTTTCTGAAGAAGTAAAAATGTAGGTGATGGAATAAAAACTAGCTTACTTCATGTGGTAGGTATGTACAACACGGACAGTGGTGTGGGCGACAGCGCGGACGGCGTGATGCGCCTGCGTCAGCTGTACGCCGCGCGGAAACTCTCCGACACCTTCCACCATCTCAGCGAGATGGCGCTGCAGAGGTACTATTGTTTTTAATCTTTTACTATTATTTTAAACTAGCTACTCTCGTGCAGTTTCACTCGCTGCGCCATTTGATCGTAGCGTGATGTTTTATAGCCTATAGCACTCAGGAACATTGTAGCTATCTATCAGTGAAAGAATTTTGGCAATCCGACCAGCGGTTCCAAAGATTACCCCCTACATACAAACTTACAAATTTTACCTCTTTATAATATTAGTATAGATTAAGTCCGCCTATGTACAAAGATTTGTGCGCATAAAGTTTAAAAAATATATCTCAGAAACTCTGCTATCGAGTATTATTTTTAATCTATCTTAGAGTCATAACTGTTGTTCCAAGTCTGGGTGTGGTGTGTATGTGAAATTGTATGTTTGTAAGTGTGTGTGGGTCAACTTTTTTTTAACAAAAATAAATCTTAGATCTAATAATGAAGATATTCTAATGATGAATCTGATAATGAAGATATTTTTGAATGACAAATGTAGATGAAACTAAAAAGGTTCTTTCGTCAGACTAATCTTTTGAAAATCTTAGAGATGTTGAGGATTGGTTCCCACATCTTTAAAATATATTATTTTTTATGCTTGTACTCCCAGGGACCCGGACAAGCGCCCCTCAGCGACACAGCTCCTGAACCATCCATTCTTCAAACAAATCAGGAAGACAGACTACCTGCCCGGCCTCATCGGACGAGTCAAACCTATCAAACCTGACCTCAGTAAGTTAATTACGTACTTAGGTACCCAGAATCCCTGAGGATACGGTGGAGCATACGGTGGTGGTATGCCCTGCCTGGGCTGAGCACCGCCGTGTTCTCAGGGAAGTGATCGGCGGCGGCGACCTCTCGCGCCCGGATTTAATCGAGGTCATAGCAAGAAAAACTGGGAAACTGTCTCCTCTTGTGAAGCAGTTATGCTGGCAAAGCAGGAGACGGAGTGCGTGAGGGAACTATTTTTCTCACGCCCCAGCCGCCGCAGCAGGCGACACTCCGGGCGTCGGGGATCAAGAGACGATCTTCGGCTAAAGCTTCACTACCTGATCAAAACCAGACCCGAGCGTACGGCGTACCAATGCAGTCGGAACCCTATACCTGAAGTAGAAGAAGGAACCGGGTGGTTTCTAGACAAAACGATCCAGCCTTGCCGAAAAAAGCCAATTGAAGAATTTCCCTCCTCAAAAAAGCGTATTTATATTCCAATTCCAAAGATGGTATACCATGTTTTTAACATATTTACATAAAAAAAGAATTATCAAAATTACATTATATGCAGACTAACTACTTTTTTTGTATAACTAGATAAGCTAGAGAAATTTGGCAACAGAAAACATCGAGTATCTTCCTGTAGAGAGAAAAGTTTCTATTGTATCACCCTTATCTCACTTTTCTCAGATGACATGTCAGCTCTCCTACTCCAAGAGAAGTTGTCAGAGATGGAGATTGAGAAGACGACAGAATGGGACTTCTAGCGCCTCTCCCCGTCCGCCACGGTACTACGCCCTCTGCGCACACGCAGGTGACAAACCAACATACACCACGCCGCTACTATGTTGTTATTTGAAATGTCAACCTTGTTGCTTATTTGATAAGGATCATTTTGGAAAAAAAGGTGGGTGTTCTAATACAATTTTACAGATATAGAATAATATCGCGTGAAAGAGATAGTGATAGTTCTTCATTCTACTAATATAATTTTTATCTCATTCATTTGTCATTACAACCTACGACATTATCTCGCAACTCCTCAATGAGTTATTAACTTTATAAGTTTGTAATTAAGTCGCAAATGCATTAAAGAATATCAAATTGAATTAGGCGGCGTATGTGTATTTGTGTCCTTATTTCAAAAGTGTTAAGGTTGATATTAGCAATATAACTCCCGAATTCAGGTTGTACTAGACTATATAAGACGTCTTCCCAAATATCTACTAAAGGAATACTAACTTAAATAGATTTAATAAAATAAATATTTACAGATAATCATAATATTACATACTGCCATCTCAAGACGCAATAATTGTTATATATTATAGTAATTAATTAATATACATATATATGTATTTTAATAATATTGTAGATTTATTAGACCATAGTTTGCATATATTTGTATACCATAGTATAAATAGACGTACAAATTATATTATTGTTATTATATATAGTAGGATTGACGCTAGGAATATTTTGTTTAATTATTTTTTTTTGTTTTCGTAATTTACATATATATTAATGTTTACGTGTACAGTTTGCACAGTTATTCAGTATGCAGTTAGAAAATAAATATTGACTATTGCTACTGATGTCGTGGTTGGGTTTTAAACTTTGGAATGACTTTTCAACGGAGATATTACCGAACTGATACGACCTTTAAACCTTCAAGAAAAGAGCGTACTCCTTCTTAAAAGGCTGGCAACGCGCCTGTGACTCCTCTGGGGTTGCACGTGTCGGGCTGCGCTGATCACTTACCATCAGGTGATCCGTCTACTAACTGAGTAGCCTGCTTATCTTCTTTATTTTTTTTATATGTCCATATAAAAAAAATAAAGAACAAAAATTTATGGATCACATAAACAGTTGTTCCGTGTAGGATACGAAGCCGCACGCGTTGTTCACTTGCCTTGCCACCGCGTCAAGTGTGCAGCCATAATTGTTACACTATGATTATATGGTTTTAAATGTAGCCATTTCTTTTGTAACCATGATCTGTTTAGTCAATTATTCGTGGTGTTTGGTGACTAGGATTCTTCCAGTGCAGTCTGTTTTGTGCCTTTAAGACTTAAGTCATTCTGTCTCCTGCATTAAATTTACCGAAGGAAGTGGAAACTATTTAGTTTTTCTTCTCCGCAAATAGTATCTTCTGATTTATTTCGTTGCGGAATTCAAGACAGTTATTATCAATAGGACGCGTTGGACTTCAGTGTTTCGGTGTTTTCATGGATGTATCTGCTGTAGATTCTGGCTTACAGGGATTGCAGAGGATTTGGGAGGTTGTAATGTGCTTGTGCCATAAAAAAACAGTATACTGTGTACGTAATGAATCAATCTTTATTTTGTTATCTGCATACTAAACAACAGTGACCGCTGTTTTTATTTTCACATATACATAGATCTGAATAGAATATTTGGGTAGCGTAAACCATTATTTATAATTATTCATATGTTACATAAACTCATGACTTTGCCCCCATAAGAATGACCATAGAATTTTTTTTACAAACCTGTGTACAGTGCGGCCGCCGGAAGTTAGCCGATTAGCTGCGCAATACACAAATTTGTTCCTAAAAGATCCATTGCGCAGACAAACGGCTAACTTCAGACTCGCCAAGATACGTCGGCCGCACTGTACCTTGACTTTGTAATGATATTTTGAAAATATAAATGTAACAAGCAGGTTTTAATGCAAGATTTGTTGTTATTTATTTCTTCAATATAATCTGAAAACAAAATAATATTTGTCTGATTGTTTGTATTTAGAATTTTATTCTCACCTACCTTTAATTTGAAATATAAAAACTGGTTCAATAGCTTAGACCTAGACCAAACGAAAACTTTGTTTTGTAATATAGGCGAATACATTTAATAAAATAGAAGCACAAAATTACTGCATATTTCTTGAGGAATTTCTTCCAGCGACAGGAAAATTTATCTTTTCGTCGTTTTGCATTTTTATTCCGACATCATAGATACATATATAAAGAATATTATTTATTTTAAAAAGTATTTGTGAGTTTGACTTGCACTGAGTTTAATAACAGAGATTTTTTTAATTGTTCATTCAACACTGAAATCGCTTTCTGCAGTAAAATTGTGAAAGGGTGGTCATCCATAAAATATTTTTATTTTATTTTATAATCCAGTCTTAGTATTGTGTTTCTATTTAATATGACTCTAATATTTTAAAATATATATAGATGTCTGTAATAAATTTGATATTATATATAAAACTAAATATAATTTTATTAATATAATTAATTTGTTTATTATATTAAAAAATAAACTGTGTAGTGCACGGAGGCGTATGAAGGGGAGAGTGATATGAATTTATAAACATTAATTATATTATAATATTAGTTCAATTAGACCAGATGTTGCTACTGTGATCATTAAAGAACAATTTATTGTTGTCTGTGTTTATTTTTATTTTTAGCCTGTAAACTTTCTTTGTCATCTATCCAGAGAAGTATTCGAGCCGTAGGGTTTCAAACTACATATACGTGATATAAATCTTATTTTTCCATAATCCAGGGTAAAGTGACTTTGACTATAAAATTTCTCGATCATTCGATTATTTACATTGCACACATATACATACTAATCGTAAAACGTTATGAAGTTGATAAATTTAAAACTGGAATATTGAACCTTTTTTAAGTTTAGTTGTGTTTGTAAATAAGAAAAACAAAATCATATATTAATATTTTTTTATTCCATAAATATACAATTAGTGCTTACTTAGATTAAAAACACGTACCAATTCACATTCATATTACTTTATTACTTTCTTGCACTGATGAAGACTCTCATCTCCGTTCCACGGTTTTCATATAAAAAAAAAAATTCAAAATAAAAAAATAAAGTACTGGTTTTGGTCATAAAACAGACTCAATAGAATATTTCTTATTTCTTTTTTACATAGTTTATTTATGTTTTATGGCCCGTACCAGCATAGGACTCCGAACTTATTTTTGCGTACGTTTGTACAATCTTTTGATTTGTTTATAACACGTTGTTATAATCAGTAGGCTGCGCGACGTCGCCGCGTCCGCGCACGCTGCTCATGAGGAAGAACCCCTCTGTGCTTCGAAACTAGTAGAGCTTTTCTCAACATTTACACGTGAGTAACCCGCGAATTTTAGTTAATTTGTTTATAACAAGTCTAAAGAAACTGTAAGTCGGTAGATTTGACTACATTATAATTATGTTATATTATATTGCATGTATGTTTAAAGAATAGGGCTTGCCTAAGAAACTCGCGTCGCTAGATGCCTTCTGAAAGTTTCAGTAAAATCAATAGGTACCTGTTTATTAAATTTGAAAAATCTTCAATATTTATGAATTTTTGTATAAGAGTACTAAATCGTTACGTTAGACGTGATTTCCTAAACAAGCTTATAAAATACCAAAACTAAGTTTTAAGTAAGAATTCTTTAGATCCCGACTCCAAATTTATTTATGGTATTGTATTTTTTATTCAAAGTCAGTCCTGTTGGGAAAGTTCTATCTGCAGTAGCGAAATCTACCGATACAGGTTAATATTATTCAAGTGTCGGCTTAATGAAATTAAATTGTAATAAAGTAATATGATAATGTTCACGCATTGTGAGCAATGTGTGAGAGCATGGCTTTGAGCCAGAGCGCGGCTGCGCGAGCGCCGGCGTCCTCGTCGTGTATGTAGTCCGTTGACACGTACGACGCACGGCCCGCCCTGTCACATTAACACAAAATTCATTAGAAAAAAGGACATTGACAATATCTCGATGAAGTCACTATATATTTGAATTTGGGGGGCGAAGGGCACGAGTTCGAAACCTGGCAAGTATCAAGTATGATAATTTAGACAACACTGACAAACATCGTGAGAAAACCTGGACTAATAAATTCTAATTATAAGTTCGATATCGCCAATTCGACTTGAGCAAGCGTGGTGATTAATTCTCAAACCTTCTCCGTGTGAGAAGAGGCATTTGCTCAGCAGTTAGCATTTTTACGCTGTAAATGTGCAAACTTATTTGGCTTTCAGACTTTTAGTCGTTTACTTTGAAAATAACGTAGGTAAATCACCTGCTGATTATTCATCAGTATTGCCCATAGACGCTAACACACGCCAATACATATTTATCAATTATTGTAAAACAGACGTTAATCTGGCAAAACAGGCAATTCTTTGACTGAGCAAGCATTAATCCCCTTAAAGGAAACTGAAGAAAATCGGAGTCTTACTTGGCAATCATTTGAGCCGTCGCTTTAGCTCCTGCTTCTGAAGCGTCCACAGTCTTCTTCAGCAACACTTGGAAGTCCGATTTCAGGTTTTGTCTGAATGTGTTTGAAGCGCTGTGTAACGTGTCTAACTGTAATAGATTAAAAATATTTTCAAAAGAGAAAAAGTTACATTTTAATATAGATCAGGGTCAGATTGACTAACAGGCAGAGTAGGTATATTGTCTAGGGACTCGTCGAGAGTCCATGAGACGACGAGGAAAAATAAAAAAAAAATATCTTTTTAAAATCACAAAACCTTTAATAGTGTACAAACTTTCTTCTTTCGATAATGTGTATCTCAAAGTCATGTAAATTCATTCGTAAAGAAAAGAGGCCCCCTGAGTTTAGTGCTCAACGGCCTCTCATATATTGAACTTAACTTCCTATGATTTAACTGATCTACAGCCTTATCCCCTATGTGCTCTTTAAGAAACATTGTGTGTCTCTCAACAACGAAGATACGAGATCGTGCTATTAGGAGATCACCTTTATAGAGAATATTTTTATTCAATTAATAAATCCTCGCAAATTCCACAACCGAGGCGATTTCCCAGTCTAATTCCAAATCGTGCAGAAAGTTACTAGTATTTCGATTTCTCAAAATTCTCATATTTTTTTTCCTAAAGTATATAATGGTCAAAATATTAAAAAAACATACTGTTTCCTCAAAACTTACCATCGTCCTGTCTCCGGGTTCAGCTCCTCCATATTTGGAGATGGCATGTATCCCACTATCCCAAGCTTTCAACCATGATCCAACATCTATAGATTCAGCACTGAAAAAACAGAAAAACGTAACTATCAAAGTAAAAGACATAATATGAAGTCTCTCTTCACTTGAATAATGATAGACTGCTTGAATCTAATACAAAGTGGTCCATCAATTTCATATATGTTTTATCAACATTGTATAGAAATTATTTCTTCACTAAAATAACAGGATGCGCGTTAGTACATGGTAGTCGGATAGTTTATAATGGAATACTTTAGTTTACTTTGTGGAAACATAACATTATAGTAATTATTACTATGTATTGCACTGCAATGGCGTGTTATTGCAGTTCCTCGTGCGGCCTAGGTCCAGCTACCCTATCTTACGCACCTACCCTACCTTACGCACCTACCCTACCTTACGCACCTACCCTAGCTTATCTACCTACCCTGCCTTACGCACTTACCCTACCTTACGCACCTACCCTACCTTACGCACCTACCCTACCTTACGCACCTACCCTACCTTACGCACATACCCTACCTTACGCACCTACCCTACCTTACGCACCTACCCTACCTTACGCACCTACCCTACCTTACGCACCTACCCTACCTTACGCACCTACCCTACCTTACGCACCTACCCTACCTTACGCACCTACCCTACCTTACGCACCTACCCTACCTTACGCACCTACCCTACATTACGCACCTACCCTACCTTACGCACCTACCCTACCTTACGCACCTACTCTACCTTACCTACCTACCCTTCCTTATCTACCTAGCTTACCTACCCTACCCTACCCTTTTTTTTATAAGAGCCTTCTAGAACTGTTGACAATAACAAAAAAGAAAAATAGCAAATATGGTTCAGCTGTTCTCGAAATTATCCTTACCAACATTTAAAATCGTTAAATATTGGTTAGGATAATCTCTCTATTGTTCAGAAATAGACGGTCTTCTACCTGATGATGAGAATGACCACTCACCTAGCCAAGGCTTGAGAAGCAGCAGACAGTCCCAGGCTGTAGATTCCACCCGACGTGCCTCCCATGTCAGTCTCCGCGATCTCCGATAGGTCCCATAGCACGTTCGACGGGTATTCTACTGAAGCTGTCTTCAAATACGACTGAATGGCTGGAAAAATTAGAAGAGAGGGTTGACTTTCTGTCCACTACTCTTTTTGTATGGTATAGGGAGGAAAACGAGGAGATTGGTCACCCGAACGTCAGCAATCAGCTCCGGCCCTTTGGGGAATTGAGGATTCGGTTTAACCTCGCGTGGCGTGACATAACGTAACTGTTGTTTCACGCCGGTTTTCTGTAGGACTGTGGTGACATCCCGATTGAACCATGATTTCTGGATAGGCATGTACTATTACCACAGCAGTTTAGTTTGGCAGTAGGTAGGTAACTAGTTTAAACAAAATGTGTCCTCTGAGTTTATACCGGGGTTTTTTTTTCTTAGAGTACTTAGCCAGATAAAAAATGCCAGCAATCGTCCAGCCCAATTTTAAAATGACGGACGTGTGATGGTGGTTTATTATAATTCAGAGCTCACCCAAACCAAAGTTCTTGAGAGTAATCCCACAGTCACCGTCGCCACAACCAGAATCCAATTTATTTAGTAACGCCTCATTCTTGATGAGGTCTTCAGCTGCCGCCAGCAAGCTGCCCCGGAGTAAATCCTGCTGTTTGGGCGAAAGGGATGGGCCTGTTGCACCCTGAAAAATTATGTATGAAGCAGGAAGTATTATCTTAGACATAGTTTAAGGTAGACCAGGATGAATAACCAACAAAGTTGTCCCTGCATCACCTAATGCTATGCGTACTTAAGTCTTTTTTTTTTGTAAAAATTGGTATTTGTAAGTAAGTATCACCTTCAAGATAATAATAGATGTCAAAAAAGCTTAGTAACAAAGCTTTAAAACTGGCAAGTGTCAACATATTTTGGCTTCATCTGCCAAAACCCTCACATCAAGTGTTTTTTTAGACAACTAACTACGCTATTTGACTCAAAAAAAGCACGACCTCACATTAGTAACACCATTCTGACTAATCGAAAAAACATTAAATTTTATAAATTGTCCATTCACCAATTAAATAAGTATACAGAACAGTACCTTCCTCCGACCAGCCTGCAGCAACGTCTCGTCATCGACATGTTCCTCTTCACTCCTCAGTGACAGTTGGCCTCCACTCCACGCGCTGGCTGCAGTGGGTGCGTCTAACAGTTCCAGCCAGAAATCCCCCTTCTCCTTATTCAGGTGTAGAAGACAGATCTGGAAGCCTTGCATCTCTAAAGAAGTCTTGAAATGCCCAGAGAATATGCGTTCCACTTTGATGCTCTTTCTTTCTGTAGAAAAAAGAAGATTATGGAAGAAGCTCCTTTCCCTTTAGATACTTGTAGTATAATTAGTTTATTATTACCTAATTGATCCTTAATCTCGGCGCTGATGATGTTCATTTCGAAGATGGAGGTACCACCTAAGTTGCCTACCATCGCAACCACTCTGTTACCGGCAACTAACTTCAGATGCGAAATAATCTGGAGAAAACATAAATATATAAGTAAATACATTATTATGTAATTTTTTACCCAACTTTAGGAAGGGTTAAGTAAGTATTTTAATTGCTTTTATGGGTAGCTCTAACTGTTTCACTATAATCTGAAGCTGCATTATTAACATAACATAGGCTATTTATCTCTGAATATCCTTATGAGATCAGGACAGGCATTAGACGATGGCAAACGACCAAGCCTATCTAACACCGAATGCTAAACATTCAGTCGCCGCTCGTAGACACAACCAACATCAGGAAGTATTTCGTTTTTACTTCTCCTCAAATAATAGTTAGTCATTTATTTTTCACTGTGAGGCCCAAGACAGTGATTCATGTCCCTGGGACGCGCTGGACGCTGTAGATCTTGGCTTACAAGTTGCAGCGATTTTGGGAGGTTGTGGCGGGCTTGTCCCAAATTTAAATATAATTTAATCAACTAACCACACACAATACATCAGTATAGAAGCTTAACGTGTAAGTAAACCGCAGACCTGGTTGAGTATCATGCCGACGACTTCCTTAGCAGTGCCCATCTTCATCTTCTCAATGCCGGCCTCTCCGTGCACTCCAGCGCCCAGCTCCATTTCATCAGAGGCTATTTCGAACAGCGGTGGCTGACCTACAAATTGATCATTAGTAGTTAATTTATTGGATCTTACAACGGTTTTTGTTCATTACGAATCTTCTGCAAGTAATCTAAGTACACTTTCTGATCAATTTTAATTGTTTTAATTATTATTTTCTATCTATATCAAATTCTTGCAGTCGCTCTACAATTGAGTGTTATGAAAACCTGCCAAAGCTAATTGTGTTTTTAGCTTTAGAGTTTTACTTTTTTTTCGATCTAATCTTTATAATTATCTAACTCGACTGTGTCGGAAAGAGGATGTGTTTAAAAAATATTAATTGTTAGTGTTCTTCGGTAGATTCTACCTATGGCGAATTTAAGAATGTTTTAGCATCAGGATATTATGCATACCTAGGTATATTCTGTTTGATATTGTTAGTATTTTAATATAATTTTTCAATGCCAATATCAACCATTTTGAATAAGATCTCTCTACACCTACTCGTAACAAACAATTACTTGTTATTTGATTCGATAACAATGATAAAGGTTTGTTCCCCATACGTTCTAAAGTAAGGTTTTTGCTTACCGGGTAACGAGCAGGCACTGAGACAAACACCGAGGGTAGCCATGTATTTGTTGAATTCCGCAGCCTCGTCGCGGATAGCTGTCAGCTCGAAGCCTCTTAGCGATAACGCTCCCGCTAGCTGAAGATCAAATAAGAATTAGTCAACAAAGGACGGTTTAAAAAAGTAAGTAGATACCTAAATACCTGCCACTGCTTTAAAGCAGCAGTCAGATTACCTGATGGTAAGCAATCGGCGCCAGCAGTGAACACCTTGCTGCTGTTATGCACCAGAAGAGTTAAGAGAGCGTCGCCGGCCTTTTGCGGGTTAGGTTAAGTTAGGAACAGGTAGAGCTGGTCCATTTTCAATCAATATCCGTAACCTCGATCATACCTTATAGAAGAGCACCTCTCCCACCATACTGCGTCCACCAGTCTTGTTCTTACTGGAAGCTACATCTTCTCCTACAATCAGTCCCTCCACCTATGGGAACAGTATGTATATTATGAATTGGTATCTATGAGTATCATCCTTCAATAAACGAGAGCGAGTTACCCAGAAAAGTTTCGAGCTTCGTTAGGGGCTTATATTCATGAGCAGCAAACGACGGATGAAGCATTAAACATCACAAATAACCTTAATTTTGCTAAAACTTTTGGAGATTGAGTTGACCTGAGACCTTTGCCCACCCAAGAAAAAACGCAATAGCTTTTTATTTAAATATATTAAATAATATAAATAAAATAATTAACGTTACCAAACTAACCTTTATTCCTAAAATCTTGGCCTTCTCTATAGCTTTTCCGAAATTTAGTCTATCTCCTGTGTAATTGCCGAGGATGACTAAAACACCACCTTGAATGAAAAAAAGAAATGTTTTAGATTAAAACATTTTCAGCCTACAATTAAACACTATAGAAAAGCATCTTATTGTGCTTAGTTTATGAATATTCTTCATGTTCAAGTAAATTTTTGAAAACATAGAATTAACAAGTTAGATTAATTAACAAGTTCTTTTTACTTTCTTTTCATTGTAACTATACATATACATATATCAAGTATCAAGAATTTATCCACTAATAAACTTCCGGCTTATAATTTTGATTTATCATATTGTGATGATATTTCGTTACCTGTATTATACTTGTACAACTGCGCAATGGCGTACAGCACATGTCCGGTCGGAGGAGAAGCAAATACCCCACCAGCTACAGCGCCGTCTAGCATACCGGCACCCACAAAACCTGAGAGAATTTTTAAGTAAGAGGCAATTTCTAAAGTAGGGTAGACTGGGTACGGTTGAAACAATTTGGCATATTTGGTTTATAATTTTGTCATTTATTAACCAAATGCTCATTATGATACATGAAATTGAAATATGAAGTTTTAGCTACGATATGGCAGTGTCATTGTGGTTCTCAAATTACTATTTTTGGAAATATGTGCAATTAAGAAATATTTATAATTTGTTTCAACCGTCCCCGTGCCAGAGGCGGTTGAAACAGCGATTGGGGTCAATTGAAACACATAAAAATAAAACAACAAATACTAATGAAATATATTTTATTTATAATTAATACTAATTATATGAATAATTATCACAACATTAATCAGTATTCAAGATTTTAATACTTCTCAAACGTTTATCAGCCTTTGACTAATACCTAGTAAAGATTTAGAGTAATTACAAAAACGGTAGCATCAGAATAAACTTTAAAAACAAATAGACTTTGTGAAAAAACTAATTAAGAGACATTTCTAATATTAATAAAATAACCATTGTGAATAAACCAAAAGAAAATATTTTTAAATCAAATAAACTAATAAAGAAACCCTGTTTAGATCAAATAGACATGGAGAATCAACTTAGAGAAAACATTTAGCTTAGGCATTAATCGGAGTATTCAGAGTCGCAATTATAACAAACGTAGCTAAGACCACCTTCTGTGCATTCTTCATGTGCCCACCTGTTTACACAAAGTAGGTACATTGAATCCACTTCTCATATATAGCCCAAATCGTCACCAACAATACATTAAAAATAATCACTATTCCATATTCTACAAGCATCGTAATAACCGCAAACACACACCTTAATACATTCACTTAAAAATAACAGATAATAAAAGCGTTAATGTCAGAAGAAAAATACTTACTTTTGTGTAATAAAAATCAATATGGCGTCCTGCACACAACCTCAACGCGCGGGATGTGGAATGACACTGTATTCGGGTTCGGACCTGTCGTCCGCTTATTCTTCCCCTTACACCCCATATTCCCCGCGTAACCATTTACGAGATATTTACTCTGTTTCAACCGTCCTTTGTTTCAATCGTACCCAGTCTACCCCATAAGCAGTTTCTAAATATATAATTACAACCGTAATTATATATTTTTTTACTACCGTAATTATATATTTTTTGGGGATGCATGAAGCAATTTACCTCCATGACACAACCCCTGTTTTTTGCTTCATGGTGGGATGTATTTAGTTATCACAAAGTCCGTCAAAATGACATAAGTAATATGTATAAACCACATGACATGTCTTTTAAAAAAAAATCACTCAAACCGCTGCTCTTACCAGCTGCAAACGGCTCATGTCCCGAACCACCCCCGCCAAGAATAGCCACCCTCCCTGTGTCACTCTGAAAACATAGAAATCCTATTAGTCAGTCAAAGCGTCACAAATTAATTATAGCAATTTTAGCCAGTAAGAGGCTGTCATTATTTTTCGCCCCACCTTAGGTGGAAGAAGTAATTTGATAATTGTAAAAATACCCTTACAAAAATATCACTTTACAAAAATTGGGTGATTCTTCACATCAATTAAAAAAAATTTAATAATGTCATTATCCTCAACCGAAAATTAACGAGTCTGCTGATTAAAACACAGATAATTATTTTATTAAATTAAATCTCACCACTGCTTACAAGCAACCGATTAAAAATATTGTATAAAATAAATTACTAAGATGCTTAAAAACCTGGGAGGATAATGACTTGTTAAATAAAAGTTAAGGTTTTTTGGAGAATCACTCAATTACGATATTTTCCAGATATGTTAGTAATCTTCATTGCGTTTGCGTCGTTTGTGTATCTGAAATTCTGAACCACCAGTATCCACAATACTGGAGGTTCAATCTTACCCTACCAGTCTCCAATCCCCAAAATCCCTAACCCCCAAAAGATCGCACCTGAACAACTCACCCACGACAGAGAAGAAACCTATATCGTGATTCAACGCTTTTTGAAATAAAAAGAAATAGTTTTATACTTATAAGACCTGACCTTTTGGCGGACAGTGATGACCCTGTGTCTGGGATGAAGCTGTAGTGCAGGGTAGGTGGCCACCACGCCGCGCAGATTGTCGTCCACACATGTCTCCGGTGAGTTAATAATCTTCTTAGTTACAGGCTTGGTGGAAGACATCTGTCATTTTTATTTATAAGTGTATTCGTTTCTTTTTAATCTTCTTAGGGCTCTTTTGATAGTCAGATAAATGGTATCTGAGGAATAAAACTGTTGCTGTCAAAGTCTTATAAAAACATTCTGATGCGACAGCATCTTATTATTCCCCAGGTAATGTTTGTCTAACCATTGAAAAATGAGCCCTTAACTAGTGTCTTTAATTACCTACCACAATAGAAAGGTCAATAAACTTGAACAGACTTATGGCCAAAATTACCAATTGATTTCAACCCATATCTTTGAATAAAGACCGAATTTTGACACAAATTCCTATAAAGAATTTTTATCAAAACGTCAAAAACCTCGGTCGATAACAAACTGAAGTAAAATTGGTTCTTCTTTCATAAAATATAATAATAAAATGTTTATTTCCAAAAAATAATACATACATTAGTAATAAGTGTTAATATTGGCCCCAAACTAGGCAAGCCTAAATCTGGGGTAGCTACGAACCAAAGATGTAGATACACAGCAAGATTACTTATAACTAAAGACTAAAAAAATTTAAGAAATCTACTAAATAGCAATAGTGTAACATAATATGACAATCAGAATCGAAATCAATAAGTACCATAACAAATAGCATCCAACTGACTGATATTAGTCTTAGATATTAAATAAACATTTCTTATAAGTAGTAGGTAAACCTACCTACATTAAAATAAGATTTAACGAACATTTACTAGGTACTTGCAACAATAATTACTTATTACATTTCCTTATGAAGTAATGAATAAAACACACGCACATACCTTTAAATAGAAAAACACAGTTCACACACAACTGTCACGTCCAACACTTAGGTACTACCTACTAACTAATTACATAACAAGATATCTTTATCAAAAAGTTTACGACCCCTGACTTATCAACAGAAACCGACAACTGAGAAAAAATATCAAAACCATCATTATCTAATCATCCATTACAGAAACCATTGCTTGGTTTTGTTCAAATTACTAATAATAATTCATTAAGTTTAGCGGTAATGTACGTTAAATTCTTGTTCTCGTCCTGCGCTAAGCGTTGTTTAGCAGAGAAACATGGCAAGCAACTGACTTCATTTAGTTTTGTTTTTGCAGTCACCTGATTGGTTAGTTTCGTCTCGATCGAAACATTAGGCTTGTTTTGTATAGATTAGCTAAGCTTTTTAAATTTGAAGCTAATCCGTTGATACATAAAGTTGATTTTTATAAGTTGCTTGACGTGGAATTTTGTGCAGACAAATGGGGACCACATTGCACAACGACCCAGGTCCTATTGTAGTATCGGTTTAAAATGCCTGTTTTCTCTTTACATTGTCAGCTATTACATGAAGGGCCTAGAAATACCCTTCCACCGAAAGTAATTTCGCTCGTCAACCTTTTTTGTTCAGAACGGGTAAAACCATCACCATATCCCAGCCTGAGTGAGGTGGAGGAGAGTCAGACTGTTACTGACTAAAAGCCACGCTGTTCCTTCTTGTGTTCCCGCAACCCAGACTAAAAATAATGGAAAACCGACCAAACATTTTTGGAAACCTTCGCACCTTTTCTAAGATTAAGCATAATGCGACTCCGACTCATTTAAATTCAATATTAGCTTCAAGACCAAAAAACTAAATTTTTTTCTTCTAGGTACCTAACTAAATTATATTTGTATGAAGAGAGAAGAGGTACATAACATTGGAACTACAGAACATATGAGCTGGAGAAATAATAATAGCATATGTTTGTGGACTGAGCGTAGATTAATATTTTTTTAAATGCCTAATTTACACAAAGTTTGAAAACATACGTATTATTATACGTAGGTGCTGTTTACACAAATACACAATGATCAAACAAAAATATATTGTTTATCATCTGAAGTCGTATAAGTTATCAAAGAATTTAACGCCATAATGCGTTACCTAAATGGATAACAAGATACCTAACAACTGTTTATTGCTTCCATTTGCTGAATAACAACAAAAATAATGTACTCGTTTCTGTAATTTTTCAAGAGATGTCGCTAGTTGTATCAAAACTTGAATTGTACTGTGGGTAGAATTTAAATAATGACCGTTATTTAGGTACTCAGAATAAAGACTTGATTTTTTATACAAAGAATTTACGCATCACGCCGGATTATAAGCGATAATACGACCTACGATGCAACGCAGTCGTGGTGGCCCGTAGCTCCCGCTTCTCATGCAGAAAGGGAAACCTAGGAAGTACCAATGAGACATTTTCTAAGTTGTACGTACTTTCTTAGTGTATTTAGACACCACTGTCAAACGGTAAAGGACAATGTAAGAAGACCTTAATTTCTAATTATAAATTTAAAATCGCCAATCCATCTTGAGCAACCGTGGCGATTAAACCTCAAACCTTCTTCGTGCGAGAAGGGGCCTTTGTTAAGCAGTGGTGGTGACTGACACGGTCTCGATTCCTTGTTACATCACTATGGTACTACAAGCTTAGTTTAAAGGAATTGGCAGCTGTTTTGTTGGCGAGTCCAAAGAAGTAAGTACAGTCCATCTTTTATTTGCGGGTGCAGAGAGGCGAGATGAAGTTTTTTTTTTTGGTATCGGGTTGGAAAATGCCCAAGGAGACTAACCGCCCTCAGGGAAGGGAGAAGGGTACTGTCAGAATCTTACTGACTAAAAAACCAACGTCCCTGTGCCTGCTCCTAGCTATATAATTTTAATATTGTATAGCATAATATTTTTAAGTTTAACCGGACAACAAGCCTTAACAATAACAAGGAAACTACTCATTCAGAAGCAAATAAAAGGCATTTGTTATATTTAGACATTAGACGCTAACGCCACAGCATGTCATTGGAAAAGTGATCTTAATAAACACGTGACAAAATTGGAAATTGTCATCGTTTGTGCTATGGAGTTACGTTTTTTTTAGCAAATATTGTCTATTACTACAAATTAGCATCTAGTTACGTGTGGTATTGAATCTTGGTACTTTATGTAAACCGTGAGGTGATGTTTGAGTATAATACATTAATACCACCTCCTCTATTCCCGCTGGTATCGTAAAAGATGAAGGGGGGTACTTATTATGACTGCACGGTTGGCGCGGTGGCTGGGCAACTGGCTGCCGTGCAGCGTGTCGCGGGTTCGATTACCGCACGGAACAACTCTTTGTGTGATCCACAAATTGTTGTTCCGGGTCTGGGTGTGATGTGTATGTGGATTTGTATGTTTGTAAACGCACCTACGACACAGGAGAAAATCCTAGCGTGGGGCAACGTTTTTTTCAAAAACAAAAAAAAAATAGCAATTAGAGTACTAAGAGGACTGACCTGGTTTAGCTGCTTTATTAGTAGATGAGTAAGTACTGAATTTTGTATTCAATAATAGGGCTGAAATCTTCTATTAGGAAAAAAAGCCCTAATTATAAAATAAAGATTAAAAAAAGAGGACTGACTGACAGACCGACACGTTTTACTTTTAAGCTTTGTTGGACGTTGAAAAGTACCTGTAAGGGTCTAATTGAACTAAATGATTTTGACTTGACTTTGACTTTGATTTAGCAAAGCCTGGGTAGCTTTGCTCCCTGATTGACGTTTTTAAGCTGCAATTTACCAAATCTCCTCATTTCTACAAAAGACGACAGATGTACTCTAACAGCTAGAGAACTCACAAGCTGTTGATGGTGAAATTAGTCCTACTAATATTATAAATGTGAGAGTTGCTGAGAATTTCTGGATGTCTGTATGTTTGTTATTCTATCACGGAAAACCAGCTAGTCTGATTTGGTTGATATTTGGTATGTAAACCCTGAATTAACACATAGGCTGTGTTTTTTATTAACATTCCGAGCCGAGAGCGGTAGCTTGTCAAATATGTACAGAGTAACTACCTATTCATTTTATTTACTTTCTGAATGTGAAACCCAACTTTTTTATGGGCTAAAATCGTGCCATGACTTCTCCCCGCTCTCCGTGTCAGACTTTTACTGACCAAAAACTACTCCGTTCCTTCTCCTACTTTGAGCCGAGGTTTTGGTACGGTCAGCTGCAGAGAAATGGACCCCTCCCCCCCTGCCCCCCTTTTTTGTCAGGGGAAAGTCATCAAATTACTTCTTCCAGGGTAAGGCGAGAGAGAGTGTCAGATTCTTACTGACTAAAACCCCCCCGTTCCTTCTCCTGCTTAGTACTCGCATGCATGTATGCAGCTATCTGCATAGGGGAATCCTTTTCTCTGCAGCTGAGAGTACATTATTCCACTTGCAACCGCTACCCTGCTCTATATTGGTCCTACTGGGCCCCATCTGTGGTGGTCTGTCAGCTCTTTGAGTCACGTGATTCCCGACACCCAGAGCGCGCCGGCTGCCGGGCGTGAAGAGGACAACCTGCTTGGTTCAGGTTGATAATAAGATAGGATTAAGAGAGAAGAAGAGAAAGAGATTAAGAAATTGAGAATTCAGGAGTCTAGGAAGTAAATGAAGCACAAAGATATACGCTTAATTTTTTTATTATAGATTTCTACATTATATTATGTATGTATAAAATGTACAATTCACAATATGTAGGTACATATTTATGTATAATTTTATTACAATACCTACCTAGCTAATTAAGTATCTAATTACAAACTAAGTTTAATTTATTCTAAATGTCGATAAACACAAACACGAATACCTACACATTTCATCGAAATATGTATCTACAAAAAATATTATTTACAAAAGTACCTAGGGTAAACACCCCAATTATGGACAGTTTAAGAGAAAAAACATTGGTAGGTATTTCTGAAATTTTACCAATATTGTGGAAGTTTCAGTACTGAAAATGCCTAAAGTTTAAACTCCTCTTCTTACAAGATATTTCTACTGTGTTACCGTGGTGTCGACTGGAAACAAATCAAAATTCGATTTTTTCACGTCCTTATTTTGAGACATTTATTTATTTTTCGTCCATTAGGTACTGTTTCCTTGTCCATAACTGATGCGTTTACCCTACCTACATATTTTATTTTTTGATGGCATATTATCATCATATATTGTCTCCTGCCTTAAGTGTCAGACTTACTGACTAAAAGTCCCCCATTTGCTTCTCCTACTCTAGGCTGTGCCCACAGTTCATTATTGCGCTTAACCTGCAACCTGCTTTCACATCATATCTAAACTACTTACATGTTTTCTGCCTACTTAACCCAAAAAGAGTTTAGAGAACGGTTTTACCTAAGTATTTATGTATATATGTGTGTGTGAGTATTTTAATGAATTAAGATTACACAATGAAACAAGGAACTACATAACGATTATACCAAAAATATAAAAAACTGTATTTGTCTGTCTATCTTTTACATTTTTACGCAAAAACTACTGAACTAATTTTCATTATATCGAGCACAAAAATGGGACGGCTAATTCCTGATACCTAACTTTATCAGCCAGATAATAATGAACAATAATTTATCTATTTGGTACCGGTTCACATTAGTTACTTAATTTAGAAGATAGTGCCATTAATATAGTTCAAACTCATCGCTGACTCCTCGGAAGGGTGTGAGAGACCCACGTATGGCCCTCGCGGCTCCATGATACACAATGCGGTAGCGTGTGAGAATGGCGTCCTCAGGAACTCTCCACTCGAAGGTCACCTGGCTCGTGCCTCGTAGAAGTGACATACGCTCCCAACGGAACCTGTAGACAGAATTTGAATGTATGTCATATCAAGACAATAATTAAGTGTGGGAGAGCCAAGCTTCTTCGAATGAGTCGACCGGAGTGATACCACGGCCTCACAGGAAACCGGCAACAAACAACTCTGTATTGTGTTACGCCGTGTGAATGAGGTTGCCGGTGGGGGAGGGATTCCTTCCCCATCCCTTTCAATGGGAAGGATTCCTTAAATATCCGAAACCTCTATCCCTTAAATGTCAGCAACCCACACGATGTTGTGTATGGGCGGCGCTGATTGCTTACCATATGGTAATCCGATAGCTCGTTTTTCGATACCATAAAAAATAGATATATAAATTGGCACTAGAATACAAAAAGAATTTTAGAACTCCTACATTGGTAGAACCCCAGTAATCTCAGAATGGATCAAAATTAACCGCAACGCTCACGCTGCTCATGAATAAGACCTCCATCGTGACTTTAAACTAGTAAGTACTTACAGCTTTTCTCAGTGAATCCACCAAAATTAATTACTTATTAGGTTTTCGGCTTACTCGCGTAATTATTTGACGAGGAACTCGACTACATTCGGCGACTGTCGAGCCGTGTGTCGCAGAATGCTGCTCATGAATATGAGCCTCTAACATGGCTTGAAACAAGTCGAGTTCCTCGTCAAATAATATATGATGTATACTCGCAGATGGTATGTTTTTTTCATTACAATTACAAACCTGGTTTATCCTAAATGTCGCATCATGACAAAAAAGAATACTTGTTATCCTACTCTTCCGGCACATGCAATAAAAACCGACTACGGGACTGTACTTCTGACCCCTGGTAAACCTTAAGCTCATATAGAAAAAAAACCACTCTCATGTAAGAGGCAGAAATTAAAATTGAAATTGTAAAGAGAAAGATTCTATGATTTAGACATCAGAATTAAATGTAGATCAGAAGGAAATCATGTGAAGGTAAACATCGTGAGGAAACCTGGAGTTATAATTTCTAATTATAAGTTTGAAATCGCCAGCCCGCATTGAGCAAGCGTGGTGATTAATGCTCAGACCTTCTCCGTGGGAGAAGAGGCCTTTGCTCAGCAGTGGGCACTTATAGGCTGATGCTGATGATGATGGTGATGAAAGAGGAAGATTATCTACTAGGAAACCTGAACTTTTAACTTCGCTAAAAATGCTCAATCCGTCTTGAGCAAACATGGTTATGAATGCCCATTTATATTATCTGAGTCTTACATTTACACAATGATGATGATGATGATGATAGAGGTATACTTACACGGTATCCCAATCAGCATCGTTTGCGACCTCCATCCACTCTGCGAGCTCTAACCTTTCCACTACAGCGTGACTCTCTTCTTGTTTCAAGTCATTGCGAGGATTTGCACCGACCTATGAGAGGACTTTATTTCTAAAGTATGTATTATACTTTTATTTCTAAAGTATGTACCTAAAGCTGTTCTTTAAGATTCACAAACTTTGGTTTGATGTTACGACTCAAGAGATTTTTTAAATGTTTACCTTTTTGTGAAAATCTTTTGTCTTAATACGCCTCTGTTTTTTAAGCTACACAGAATTCTTTAAATACACAAACAAATACAAAAATTTTGAAATTTAGTTCGAACTTTAAACTTTAAAAGGGGTTTTCATACTTCGGCACAAATGGGCAGGCATTGCTTAAACAAAAAATTCTTACGAAAACAGCTTTAAATCTATTTGATAGTCGTGTATTAATAACATAATTCCCTTACAAAAGTAGCAGAGACGACATCTCCCCTGCGCACGCGAGCTGGTGGCTGTATCACGCAGTCTCCAAAACGCTGGTTGAGAGGGGTGGAGTCCAACACTACGGGAGTGATCAGGGACAGGATGCGGTTTCTATGGTCCGGGGGAGAAGCGCCTTCTTCTACTTCGGTGTCCTGAAAGCATATATGATGAAGAGGATCTTAGAGATGTATTTGTGAAGTTTATTATATGATTTTTAATGTTTCTGGCTTAAAATGTAGGTATAAAGAAATCCACTATGATGTCTATGAAGTGAGTTTCTAAAGCGTGGGAGATCGCATGGCTCTCCGACAAGAATAGGTCGACTCGACCGGAGTGATACGACGCCCTCATAGAAAACCGGCGTTAAACAATCACAATGCCGTGTAAGTGAGCTAAATCTCCAGAATGCTGGCAACACAATCGTAACTCTTGGTGCATGTACATGACCGGCGCCTACTGCTTACCATCAGGTAATCCGTCTGTTCTTTTACGAATAGTACATATAAAAGTAAAAACAATTTTAAAGAGCTCTCATGGTTCAGTAGTTGTAAGCACATACCTCAATAATAGCATCAGTCAGTTCGACGAACTTGTTGATAAATACGTCGAGAGTGTGAGGACCATACAGGGTAGAGGCTGCCTCGTACCGTTGTACCTGAACACACAGTTTACTGTTACACAAAAATCTATCTTAATGTCAAAGTTTTAAGTATTGAATTTAATAGTTCAGATAAATAACAGATGGGCAGGTTGTCTGATATAAATTTAATGCGTCTAAGTATTTGTTTGGAATTCTAGCATAATATCACTAAGCAAAAAGTATAGCAAAAAGGGACTGTTTTTAAGTTTATAAAAATTTTTTTGTTGTAAGTACATAATAATTACACGAGTAAAAATATTAGTAGTTCGTTACAAGAGCAAGGAATGGTACTACGGGCTACGATCATCAAGAATGCCAAAAGCAAACTACGATACTGGTTTTTATCGCAAACCAGCCTACAATTATTAAAGATCTCGGAAACTTCACAAAGATATCAAAGACTGCACGAAGACTTCACAGAGATTTATGATAACGGTCTTCTGGTCTTACCTGATACTCTTCAAAAGTGCTCACGTAATGTATATACTCGTTTGTTAGTCCGGAGACGACGACCTTGGGTTCGATCCCCTTGCTTTCCATCAACTTCCCAACTGCCGCCCTCATACGTCTGCCAGCCATGGTGGTCGGCTCCCCAGGCACTCCCAAAATGGCCAAACCACCCAACCAGACAACAGAAGCTGATACGATGTGCGGATGCCATGGCAGTGGGAAGTTTGCCTGGAAGGTAGAATTTTCGATTTAATAATATATTAGAGTATTGATTTTACACTGTATAATAATAATAATCTAATTAATGCATTGACTAAACACTAAAAAATATGGATAGGAATTTTATAAATAGGAACAGGTTTCTTTCTAATTTACTTTTTTATACTAAAGCAACAACAGTAGCAACAAAGCTTACAACCTCTTTAGTGCTAACCGGACACAGAGTACTTAACCTAAATTCAGTTGTAACACCAAAAGTACCAGAAACCTAAGACTTTTTAATGAAATTGATAAATGCAGGTAAGCAGTGGGTCGGGCATTATCATTTTTATTAGCAGTAGCATTTTTCCGGTTAAACTCGACTTTAGTATAAAAATATAAGTAGATACTAACTCTCCCAGTAGCCAGCAAGATGGGCTTAGGAAAATGACAGTTCTTGTCTTCTTCCGTGGCTGCGCCAATGAGGCTGGCAATAAAGCCAAGTATCGGCATAGGCTCCAATGTACCCTGTGGGACACCAACAAACACTAGTCAACATGATGTAACGACATGAAATTGAAAGGTGATGGTTTCACGATGATCACCATCAGAAAGGCATCCCTTCAAATCCTCCACGTCAATTTAGTTTTTCATTTACTTTCAAATTCATTTCAAATACTTTTACATTCAAATCATCACTACATACTTAGTATAAAACAAAGTCGCTTCCTCTGTCCTTATGTCCTATGTATGCTTAAATCTTTAAAACTACGCAACGGAGTTTGATGCAGTTTTTTGATAAATAAAGTGATTGAGAATAGTATCAGTATTGCAACCGTGAAAATCCGTGAAAATGGCGGGTCGGTAGTAGTGTATATATAATATTCTCTCAAATATCGTAAAATAAACTAAGGGCTGATTTTTCAATAGTCAGACAAATGTTATCCGAGGATTAAAATTGTTGCTGTCACTGTCTTATACAAACATTCTGACGCGACAGCATCATAATTATTCCCCAGGTAACTTTTATATAACCATTAAAAAATCAGCCCTTAATATTTTTTAAATTATATTCACCTGTGTAATATTCATCGTGTTGGCTCCATCTATAGTTCCAGATGCGAAACTGTATCCTAACGCTGGATAACATCCTTTTACCATATTTTCCTAGAAACAAAAATACAGAAACGTTAAATAATCATTTAGGTCATTCTTCGAGTAAGTATGTATGTTATCTATGTATGTTAGTCTCAAGCCACAACGGGATTCTCCTTCTGACTATTATCAAGCTTTAACCTACTCACATTGTCAAAGGTCTGTTCAATCGTATTATACTTCGGGACAGTCTGTTCAGCCATCCTCATGAATTGATGGCGAACTGAAATATCTCCTGTCAGCTCTTCCAGCTCCTCGTCAGGAGTGTTCAGCAGGTCCTGAAAATAAGGTGTGAAAATTGAAATACATTGTGCAGTTGCTAGATGAACAACTCACTTTATTATGTCTTATTTTTATATTTTATACAACAAATGCAGCATAATAGGACAAATTCGAGTCCATCTAATGTCTGTAAAGCTCTCGAACATTGTGACAAGGATCGAGAAAAGATACAAAACATTATAAAATGATTGTTGCTCTGCACTAAAAGGCCGATGGAAGACATATTTGATGTCTACATCTAATTAGAAACTAATACATAATAATAACAATATTATTAAGCTGAAGAGTTTTTTTGTTTATTTGTATGAACTCTTATCTAAGGAACTAGTGGATCGAATTTATGATGTGTTGGATAGATTCTATTTATCAAAACGAAGAACCACGTAAAAGAAGCTAGTTAGTTGTAATATACAATAATGTAGCTCACCAAAGCTCCTTCAAAAACTGTAGTTCCAATTATCTTGGTGCTCTCCATCATGTCCTTGCCAGGTCCTTGAGCGAAGCAGCGCTCCATTTGTTCACAGATGAGGAACTGATTGTCACATTCCTTGCCTGAGAACTCACAGCGAGCTCCCTGCGTGTTTGGAGATACGTCGCCAAGGTTCGACGAGAAGAAACCAGCTACTATCTCTGGCTGGCGTAAGAGAATAATAAATTACATTAATTAAAGTTTGGAAGAACGTGTCTTTACTTATCTATAATAAGAAAATATCCGTAACTTCAATGTGATTTAATCGTAGACAAAATTGCAGGAGAACGCACATCAAAATCGTATTTACGTAGTTAGTTAAAACCAAACAGTGCCTAAGACGTTTAACGTAAGGTTGACTCCATGGCTGAATTATTGGATGTTTCAATTTCCCTTCGGATCAACTCTGTATGTGATTCATAAATTGCTTCAAGTACAACTTCTTAAATGCATCCATTGGGCGCAACTCAAAATAAAATCGAAATAAAATTGTAGCTATACCTACAGAAATTGAAAGTCAAATCTTATCACACAATATTAGCACTTCTAAAGGCCAAACAAAGATTAGAAGATAAAAAAGTGTCAGTCTGTCGGTCCATCTTCTAGAAAAGCTAATTAATCGTTTCAAAGTGCAGATTGCAATGGAGAAGAACGAGTAAGAAGCTCCATGGTTGAAGTTGAATAACACAGATGTAGCTGTTAGATTATAATAGTGTTTATCCGAACGACCCTTCGAATCTTGATTAAGATTAAAGTGTCAGTTAGACGTATAGGTGTCCAAGTATAAGTCCTTAGCCTACCTTGCCAGGCTTTCTCCATGGATTCAATTCTTTCTCCATTCTCAACGCAGCATACCCCAAGTTGTCCGAGGATATGAGCTGGTTCGTCATATTCATGCTGGTGGTATGCACTGCGTACCAATTCATAACTCCATGAAGCCGACCATCCTCTCTCACGATCTTCACTTGAGTTAGAGTTATGTCCGTCTGATTGCCTACGTGTTCATACCTGTGGACATTCGAATGGCGAAGTTAACGTCTAATGTTTATAATCAATTATTTTTACGGTGTTTTTACTCGTCGAACAGTGCTATGAGAGAGTCCTAAAACATGATTAACTTGATAGATCATAATATTTTATTTAGTTGAATAATGGGCAAACGAGCAGCCATCTTACACTTTGATGGATCACCTGATTGTAAACAAGATCGGAGCCATAAAACTGAGGAGATACAAGAGCGTTGCCAGCCTTTAAGGGTTTTGAGAGAACTATTGGGGTTAACGGAGGAAGAGATTCGTATTGTATAATGCAAAACCTTTCAGAGAATTTGAGCAAAGTTATGCACTGCCTTCGAGAATTTCATTCTTGTTAATAGCCAGTATTTTCTATTTGGCTTTTATATTTTCTATATTGGCTAATAGCTTCACTATGGCAATGATAGATAGACAGATATTTTTGTTTTATTTTATGGATCGTTCATTCGAAATAAATAATAATCATTTGATTTAGTTTAACTGACCTGGCTCTCTCCTCTTTAGGGTTCGCATCGTAAGAAAACGGAGATCTGTTCATCTGGGCACCAGTCACAGTTGTCTGCCCAAAGAACAATCGAGCTGGGACCATGTTTTCGTGAGCGCGGACTATACTCTGAAATAGTAGAAGAAAAATAATTAACTTTTTTAATTACATGAACACATTAATAGCCACGTAGGTCACGGGTGACCTACGCTAGCAGAGGATTTGCTATATTTTTCTATCGGCAGTCAAAGGCATTATTATTGCAGCTTCCGTGTTGTCCAATGTTTCGTAATCATCTCTATAAAATGTTGAAAAACCAACATCATCTAATTAGTCCACCGAATACTAGGGCTTTCAGGCTGAGAAGTCTAATTCAGCAAACGCGATTTTGACCTCCCCAATGGGGAAGGAAACATCAGGGTAATTTATTTATAACTAAAATTAAAAGTTGGTGCTTACCCTGGTGATTCCATCAACGTAAGCGCTGAATGTTTCCCGGGAGAAGCCGAGAATACTGATGTCGAGAATGAAGTCCACCATGTGACCTCCTGGAGTGCTGTGCGTGTGAGTGCCAGTGAGGATCACGTTGTTCAGTGTGTACATATGTACGCCATACCTCTCTTGAAGATTTTTCACTACCTGTTTATAAAGAAAGTAACACATGTGATCAATACTCGAATAAATGAAAGCTATTAAATAATTTTGATGAAAATATTTAGTTGAATGTGTGGTAAATTGACAAACTAAAACATCATCCAGTAGAAATGTATCTATAGGTATGTATAGCTATGTACCTAGGTATTTAACGAGATAGTTCGAGTAGTTTCAAGCTACACTAGTATTGTGTTCATTAATTGTGAAAATCTTCTTTTCTGTTCCATTTCAGATTGAAGTTCCTTTGGCTTCCTTACCTCTCGTCTGACTGCAATGCCAACAGCCTGTACTTCAGCTGTAACCAGCACGACCCGGCTGCTTCCCTTCGCGAAGATGAATGATCTAGCGAACTGACGCGTGTGGATACCTCGGCCCCGTTGCCCTACCTCCGCGTAACCCATCTGAAATGCATATTTCTTATTTCTAATCTATCCTTTTTTCTATCTTTATCTATCTTACTTAAACTTATTGGTACCAATGTATTATGCTACCGAAGTATCATATATTCGGTAAATACCTCCAACTGTTTGAAAACATAAACAAGGTGATTCGAATTTAAAAAAAAAACGGTGTATACTTATATGTGATGCAGAATATAACAATGCTTTCTTTTCTGTTATTATGTCGGCTCAGAACAATACTATCCACCAGTGTCAAATCTCAGACGGGAGTTTCTGCAGGTGCAACAGTGTATCGTGGGTCCGACTGGAGTAGAAGAATCTGACACCCGTTTACTCCAGCGAGAGAAGTGAGTTGAAGAATATTCATGATTCAAAAAGAAACGTGAACAATATCAAATGTGTAATACCAAAGTATTATTCGGTGGATGATATATTGGAAAAAGATTTGATTGGGTCATCTGAACTTTACATGAGAGTAGGTAAACATTTAAGCTAATTAACAAACAAAGAAAAATCAATTTTACTTACAAAAGTAATTTCTACACACGGCCCCGTCATATCAGCTATGCCAACGCCCACTCTATAAGGGAGATCACTTTCTCGTTCGGTTGTGATTGGTCGTGATGTCTCAGCTTCATTGCTGTTACTACTTTTGTTACTATCGTTATTTTCGTTGACTGTTAGAACTATGACTGCAGCCATGCCAGCAATTACAGCTAGAACCACTACTGCAGACACCACTTTCCCTACCAGTGTGCACGCCATCGTTTCTGCAAATATTTCAAGTATGTAGTTCTAGTTATTTTTATTAGGCCTTGCTTCGTGCTGTCCATCTGCTAAAGATCAAAAAAAGACCATTGCATGGTACGTATTGCCCAACAATTGGGGTAACGGCATTTAACTATCATCGTTAGAGACCTTGGCATTACGAGTATCCATGGGCTGCGCTGATTGCTTACCATTAGGTAAACCGTCTGCTCCTTTACCAACCTATGACATAAATAAAACTATACGACTTGACTGCTAGTTACCTATGTTTTTTTTTTATGTAATAGGTCAGCAAACGAGCAGACGGATTACCTGATGGTAAGCAATCGACGCCGCCCATGGACACCCGCAACGGAGGAGTTACGAGTGCGTTGCCGACCTTTTAGGGATTAGGGTTTTGGGGATTTAGGGATTGGGAGGGATCGGGGAAAGGGAAGGATTGGGCCTCCGGTAACCTCACTCACACGGCGAAACACAACGCTGTGGTTGTTTCACGCCGGTTTTCTGTGAGGCCGTGGTATCACTCCGGTCGAGCCGACCCATTCGTGCCGAAGCATGGCTCTCCCACACTTATGTTCTGACATTTTAAGCATTTGCGCGACCCACCTAAATGTTCTTTTGATCGGTATTCTTCATCGGACACTCAACAAGTCAAAATACCACTACGGAACGAACTTGCACGTTTCTCACACATTATGTAATGCTGCAATTTTATATATATACAACTGGCTAGTCTCGCGCGGTTTCACCCGCGGCTCCATTTAGTCGTAGCGTTATGTTTTGTAGCCTATAGCACTTACGAATATTGTAGTTTGTAGCTATCTATCAGTGAAAGGATTTTGGAAATCCGACCAGCGGTTCCAAAGATTACCCCCTACATACAAACTTACAAACTAAAAAATTTTACCTCTTTATAATATTAGTATAGATTTATGGAAAAGTCTCGACATTGCAATTGTAATTTACATTATAAAAGTATTGAATTTGACTAGTTAGATTGTAACAAACAATTCTCGTAAATACCTGTGTGTACATCAGATTTAGATACCTACATTATATCCATCTCCGGCTTTATTTTATCAAGCCATCGACGACGTGCGACGTACGTACTTATTTCGAAATTATTTATCAATATTCTAACTTCTAAGTCTCATTGAAAACCGTATTATTAGGTCGTAAAAAATATATTTGTAATATTTTATAATAAAAAAAAAATTGCCAACATAAGGATTTTGTCCTGTGTTGTAAATGCGTTTACAAACGTACAAACTATTTTTAATAAGCATAAAACATTTCCAATAAGTATATTGTTAAACATATCCACACTTTAGGTATTTCTCCTGTATCGTGGTTGCGTTTCTAAACATACAAATTCACGTAAGAACACAAAAAGACACGGAACAACGTTGTTTTATAAGGGAATCAAACCCACGACGCAATTGCCCAGCCACTGCCCCGTTTTCCAAAATGTCATTTAAAAACAAAACAAACAATTTGCGGGAAAAGCATAGGTAATGGACTCAAGAAAGGGGTTTTTCAAGGGACCTTTAAGACCCCCTTCAAAACTTTTTGACTTACGTACAGTCATAAAACTCATATTAAGATATTTCACGTGAGCGATAATGACATGTAAGTACACATAATTAATTAGATAGGTAATATTAAGCCTACTTATAAGTACAAACGTATCATGGAAGCCAGATAATAGTTTGAGGATATTGTGAGATTTGAATGAATGCACTGTGAAAAGGAAAAATATTTTTATAACCTTTTGTGTTTTTTACATGTTATGTTTTATGGTATTCCCTTTAAACTTTAGTTTTATAGTAAGGGATAAATATTTATTTATTGTAAGTTATAGTAAAGGATAAAGTTTAGCGAGGGATTTTGGAAGATTATCGAGCAATGGAGTTTGAGGACCGAGGATTGAGGGAGCTCCTCACCACACAGGGAGTATATTTCGCAAAAGCACTGAAAATACGTTGGCTTTCTTTATTTTACATTTTTTTTAACGTTGCTCTACGCTAGGATTTTTTCCTGTGCCATGGATGCGTTTACAAACATTCAATTTCAAATACACATCACACCCAGACCCGAAACAACAATTTGTTGATCACACAAAGTGTTGTTCCGTGCGGGAATCGAACCCGCGACACGTTCCACGGCAGCCAGTTGCCCAGCCACCGCACCAACCGTGCAATCTCTTATAAATATTGTGACGGAAAAGTGGTTCAAACTCTTTGACATCATGACGTCAATGGATGGTTGTCAAACGTTGCCTAGAGATTGTAAATTTCGTCGTGAATTGTCAACACGAGTTGGTGTAATCGGTAAGGCGTGTGGATTACACCACAGAGACCCCGAGTTCGAGTCCCGCCGTAAACATGTAGTTTTTTAGTTGATAGAAGTTTTGTGGAACTTTCTGGAATTATTTGTGTGAAAGAAATGAAAAATTAAAGAGCGAGAAGGAGAATAAATAAAAATGAGTAACGAAATTATTGGAAGGTTCTGGAGTCATGACGATCAAAAAGAATAACGAAATTGAATGTTCCAGAACCTGAACCGGGGTATATAAGCGGAACTGCGGCTCACCGCTGGCAGTTGAGTTCTAAGTCTAAAGCGATTCGGAAGAAAAGGAAGAAGTGAGAAAGAAGAAAAGTGAGTGAAATAGTGAAGTGCAGTGAAATAGTGAAGTGCAGTCAGTTAAGTGAGTTAAGTCAGCGTGAACGGCAAAGTTGTGTCAGTCGGCCGGACTCTGCTGGAGAGGAACGCCGATAACTTAATTCCGTGGACGCTGTAACTTAAGTGCAATAGAAAGTCTGAAAACCGGTATTAGTGTTTCATTTCATCCAATCCCGTAACTCAAGCCCGCATAGTCAGGAACGTGACGTCAGGCACGTAACATTTGGTGTCAGAAGTGGGATTGGAGAAAAATGCCGCTAGTGCCGCAGGACGTAAGAGGAGTGAGTACCCGTTCAATGTCAGAAGCGCAGCGTGTGAGGGAAGAGGGTGCTGCAGCTCAAACCAGCGATGCAGAAGCCAAGCCTGTGCAGGTGGATCTTCTGCTACAGCTGCAGCACATGATGGCAGAGCAAGCGCGCCGCCAAGAAGAGCAAGCGCACCGCCAAGAAGATCAAGCGCGCCGCCAAGAAGAGCAAGCGCGCTGTCAGGCAGAACAGCTGCGGGAGCTGAAAGAAGAGCAAGCGCGCCGCCAAGAAGAGCAAGCGCGCCGCCAAGAAGAGCAAGCACGCTGTCAGGCAGAACAGCTTCGGGAGCAAGCACGCTGTCAGGCAGAACAGCTTCGGGAGCAAGCACGCTGTCAGGCGGAACAGCTACGGGAGCTGAAAGAAGATCAAGCTCGCCGCCAAGAGGAGCAAGCGCGTCGCTTGGAAGAGATGCATAAGGATTTCACGAAGGGACTGCAAAAGGCTGTCGAACGGGTACAAGAAGTGGAGGAAGGGTTAGGCAAGTTGAAACTTCGCGTCATGGCGATAGAGGAGAGACTGGAAGAAGAGATCTCCAAAATCAAGCAGGAAGTGACAAACCCAAGCCCTTTGAAGAGCCGAAGCCGTCTTGCAGCCGTTTTTGACGCCCCAAATGCGGCCTTAAGCGCAACGAAAGGGCTCAAGATTCCCCATTACGACGGAACAACATCCTGGACTGCGTTCAAGCTACAGTTTGAGACACTTATGGAGGCTTATGGTTGGACTCAGAAGGAAGCACAGTCAGCCCTTACCCTGGCCCTCCGTGATCAAGCGCTCTCAGTGCTGGAAGCTATCGGCGCAAGTGGGGATCTCAGCTTTAGTGCCCTCCTCGACGCACTTGAAGCACGTTTTGGAGACAGCCACCTCGAGCACGTGTACAGAGCGCAATTAAAAGAGCGTACTCAGCGTGCTAATGAGAGCCTACAGCAATGGTCCGTGGAAATCGAGAAACTTGTACGTCGAGCTTTCCGGTCGACTCCGTCAATGATTGAAAGCACGCTTCTCCAAGCGTTCATTGACGGTATTCGGGACCCAGAAGTACGAGCTGCTGTTCATCTGGGCCATCACAAGATCATGAAAGAAGCTCTGGCCCATGCATTGGAAGTGGAAGCCGTGCGTGGCAACTCCCGTACCTTACGTCTGCGGGAAATGACGACAACGGAGCAGGTACCTCCACGCCGTCGGAACTTCATGTGCTATGGATGTGGAGAGCGTGGGCACATACGGAGCGACTGCCCGAAGAAGATGAACTGCAAGGACGCGGCGGTCTCAACTTCTGACCAGCAGGGAAACTTAAATCCAGCCAGGGCTGCGGGGTGGGCGCCGGCTGGTAGTGGAACAACCCCAACAATCTACATCAAGCAAACCAACGATGGAAATACTCTGGTGATAGACGGTCAAGTAAATGGGAAAAACAGTCAGCTAACATTAGATACTGGAGCTTCAAGGACGGTGATAAATGTTCGGCTGCTCGAGCACAACATCAGGAAACACCTTAAACCAATTGTTGGCCTACAAATGAAATCAGCTACCGGCCAGTGCATACCGATAAGTGGAAAACTGCATGTAACAATCAAAATTGGGGAACGTGTTTATCGACATGAGGTTATCGTGGCCAAAATTCTGGATGACTGCATCCTGGGACTTGACTTCCTGCAAGGGCACCAGTGTAACATCGACTTAAAATCTGGAGTTTTACTATGTGGAACTGAGGAAATTCCGATGAAGGGTGGAACCCTGGGAAAAGTTTGCTGTTTAAGAAGAACTGTTCTTGCACCAAAATCACAGACTCTCGTACCAATCGCATTACCTAGGAGGAAGGAAGGAAGTTTACCTCGAAGGTGCGCTGTGATTGATAAATCGGAACACGTGAATTCATCGCTACCGGCAAGAACTGTCGTGGGGTCATCTGATGTTAACCGCATTCCGGTATTCAACTTCAGTGATTCAGAAATTACGATTGAAGAAGGAGAGCCTGTGGGCGTATTGGAAGAAGTGGCCTGGATAAGAAAATGCTC